GGTAGTCAGGAGGAAGCAAGGTACAAGGAGTTTGACTGCTGGTGTGGATTTGGATTGTGAAGAGCTTGCGCAAATAGACGGAGGGCAGTCGTGAATAATGTCTTAGCGATTGCGGGTTGGTTTGCGACAAACGAAAGTCTGTCGATACGGAGGGCAGGCAGAGTAGGCGCGGCGCACCGCCAGATCTGGGAATATTCCATGACGAGGAGGCAGGCGCGACAACTGCTCTTTCCCCGGATTGCGATGAGGGGCAGGGTTGAAGTAGAGGGGTCCCAGCAGAGACAGGAATACTCTGCAGACAGAGAAAAAAAAGAAAGCAGACATACCGCAGGCGCAAAGTCGGACTCCTCTCCCATACTAAACACGGACGCTTCGTCGGACGACATCTTGTACAGTATGCGCTCCCCGAGGCGCGGGGAGAAACACGAGAAATTTCGGAACGCGGTGGTGGTCGGTACACTAGGTGGTGGTGGAAGTGGTCGAAGAATCGCTCGGCGACACAACGAGGAGGAGGGTGCAAGAAGATTTGATCCGAAACGGCTAGCTGGGCGGACCAGGCGCGCAATTGGCACGAAAGTTGAGCAGAAAAAAGAGAGGGAGGAGGGGAGCGAGTGTGCCAGCTCGAGCAGGGTCTTTTTACATTGAAAGGAGGTTATGGTGAGGATTGGTGTCAAGGACGATTTTCCTTGTTGTTGGTAGCAACCCTTTTTGGGATGTTGATGTTTGGCACCTGGGCAAGTAAACAAATTGGGAAACCTGACGGGGAAGGAAAATGGAGTCGCGACACCTCCTGGGTTCTTTCTCACTGGACCGCGTCGGGGGGGCCATTGACGCCTTTCCCCTTTGTTTACTGCCTCAGGCCCTCTTACTTGCTGTACCTACTCCGTCGCGGCGTGGCCTGTGCTTGCCTGCCACTGCCACTGCCACCTCCCACGGTGTGTGGCGCCAAAGTCCCGGCGCGAGCGGGGTATAGGACGTACCTCCCGGCATCTGCCACCTGCACGCTCTGCCTCTACCCCGCCGCCCGTCCAATCGAGGCGTCGCGGTGGCACTAAAATTCCGCACAAGACCAGACGGGCGGGAGCTGCCAGCCAGACCCACACAACCTTAAGCCCAAGACACAACCCGTCAGCTTCTTTCACTATTAATATCTTACCTTCTTCCGCAGTAGACATTACAATGGCCTGATAAACATTGACGGCAAAGGAGGGAGATAACATAGTGGCTTCCTTGCACTAAAAGAACACACCTTGATCACCAAGTTGTACCTTATTTACAGGCAAAGACTCGTTTAGATTGTCTGTTCACTTGCGATCCTGTTCACTCTCTCTATTTAGTGGCACAACCCAACTGACACTGCAAAACGCCTCTCTACGCCCTCCCACCAGCCAAAACACAATACTCCCTAACCCTTCAAACTACACGCCTCGTCTTTCCCGTCTCAACCTCGTAAATCCATCCGCTGAGAACAACACTCTCCGGCACCAACTTTGACGCCTTGATAAACTCAATATCCTTCTTGACGGCCGTATCCAGATCCGTAAAGGGAAGGAAATCGGGAATACGGCTCGCCGCCTCCGACGAAGCCTCGGCACTAACAAACAGTCAATATAAAGAGAAAAGAGATACTGGGGACGTCGCGTGATTATCATGACAAACTCACCCGAGGTTCTTATCAACAAGACCAAACGCATCCTCATTCTTGAATGTCAGCATGCCGCAGCCGGTATGCTTGACGAGCACAATCTCGTGCGTGCCGAGAAGCTGTTGCGAGATGACGATGCTGCGGATCGCGTCTACAGCTGAAGCGCCGGCCTTTTTATTGTTCAAACGATGAGTGAAGTATCCGCTACTCAATATTGGGGAATGCTTACATTGCGAATGACATGCGCATCGCCAAGCTCGATACCAAAAGCCCGCGCCGGGTCGAGTCTGGCATCCATGCACGTCAGGACGAGGTACTTTTTCGCCGGCGGGAGGGCGAGGTGGCCCTTGTCAAAGGTCGATGAGTAGGTTTCCGAGGCGGCCTCGACATTCTTTTGGATTGCGGACATTGTGAAATGAGATAATTTGCGTTTACTGTGAACTAAGACCTGTTGCGAATCGCAATGTGAGAGATGCGTTGAAGGTTTGTTTGCTTTCGGTCCAGCTCGAGTAGATGTGGTATATAAGTTATGAACAAGGACTGTCTCGGAAATGTCAGAGATGGGAGATCCCTGGCTTTACATATCCCCCTCTTTCTCTTTATCTCCCCCAAGCCCGACTTGTAGTCTTCCTAGTGCCGCGCATGAGACAGCTACAGAACTCCTGTGGTATCTGAATGTGGGTATATTGCGTGCTTCTCGGCCTTTGTGCACACCGAGACGTTCAACCAACGAGCTTCCGCCCTCTCCGCATTCCAAGAGCAATAGTTCGGTCCCGGCTGGGAAAGGTGAGGTGCCGCCCGAATGCCCCGATTTCCAAGGTGGGGTTCGATCGTGGCACCGATCGGCGTGGTATTGGTAAGCTCAAAGCTGTCACTCTGTCGCCGATCCGGTGCCAAATCTCCGCCCACGCAACTCTACCTTCACGACGTTGGTGATGCGTAGTCATTGAAACTTGGGAGTGTGTGCATCCCATGATCCAAAAGAGGTCAATGTCGGCGTTGCATCATCCCGAAGAGCCGTCACCGAGCCGCTCCGACTGGACTCCACAGTTCTTTATTCGCACGCCGGGTCACCTTGAAACGTTGATGTCGGGATCTCGAGAAAGTCGGTCATGCGTTGCCAGACTCTCACTCGATTTCTTCAAATCCCGTCCTCGCCAGCACGGGGATCGACAGATGACGTGGGTCGCCGTCTGTCTTCGTAATAAACTATCTAGAACATACCATCCTTCTCAACGCCGTGGAAATGTTGTGAACGAAGTAAAAACCCGCTACGTCGAGAGCTGCTTATAGAAGAAAATCTGATCCTTGAGCTGTCGTGGAACGGCGGGGCTGATGCCGTAGTTTGGAACTCTGCCGACCTCGACGTATCCGAATTTCCTGCAGACATCCTCTGCCGGGCTACCGACCTCGGTATCAAGCATCTAGGCAACACTCTCGTCAGCCTTTTCCTCGGGCCTGCAGATTTGATAGGCTCCAAGTTCCCTACCAGTAGCGTTCGTCCTCTCCGAATAGCCTCGCCCTCTAGAGCACTCATCAACATCCTGGCGCCACCACGCCGACGGAACTTGGGACTGATGAGAAGCTTCTCGACGAAGCCACGGAATGGGCCCGTCTCGGAGTAGGGCATGGAGAGCATGACGACGCCCATGAGCTCCGTTCCCTTGAACTTGGTTCCCGGGTCGGATTCGTCGAGGAGGATCAACATCATGCGGGTGCCTGCAGTCACCTCTGCTATGCGGTCTTTCCACCATCCCAGCAGCTTCTCGTGCGACAGTGGCGGCAAGAATGTTGCGAGGGTCCGATCCGAACTGATGCAGCCGGCGTGGAGTGCTGCCAGGTAGGGGATGAGGTGGGTATGATCCGCGGGGGAGAAGATGTACGGCGTCCCCGAGCTGGAGGACATCTTGAAGGGGGCCTCCTCGCCTTGTGTGTGCGCAGGTGGTGTACTCTTCTGACGTGTTGACGAAGTACCGTCTAAAAGAATACGACAAGGACCGTAGCTTGGCTCAAGTGGCTCAGAGAGGGTGCAGCCTAGCCAGAGCAGAGGAGGACGTAGTAAGAGCTAGTAGAGATCGACAACGCAGGAACAGCGTAAGTTTGTGCTCTGACTCTGCCGTACTACTGAGAGCCGGATGGTGATTTTATGCACGCAATTCTCGAGACCCGCCTCAATGTGTCTTTCAAGTCAGTAAGAGAGTTTATGCCTCGAGTCGGCGCAGCGAGGTCGCGTGCTTGCGTTGATACTGAGTGAGGGGAAATTTGTCAAGAGCTCACCTCAGCTTCAAGAGACTCAGCATCAGACGTGGGTATGAGACGGTGTTAGGTTGAGTGTGGAAGAGCCCGTGTGACTCAATGGGTCAATTGATTGATCAAGAGTCGCAAAAGTGTCTGGAGACGGGAGACTGGAGACAAGTGGAGATTTGAGCTCAAGAGAGACGTTGAGGATATCAGGTCAACGGAAAGGAATTGGTGACAAGAGTCAATTCGTGCAGGTAGTAGGTTCCTTTTTTCAATGGCTCTTGCCAGTTCCATAGGTTAGCCCCAGTCCGGGTTGTCTTTAAGGTGGGATTAGCGTCTTGGTGGCCCAAGCCCACAGGATGAGGAAGCCGCTACGAGGGAATTCCCGGCGCAAGGGGCCGTAGAGAAAGCTGGCAGACAAACCGCACCCCACATGTAGTAGAATTAGAAGGATGAATGCGATGGATTGTGACACTTCGGCCAAGCAAGCACCTGTAGCATCTCATAATAGGTAGGAAGGGTAACATATTCGCTGCGACAATTCCGCACCAGGAAGCTGGGCCGGTAACCGGCCCTACGGATACACGCTTCAACGGCTGTTGGCAGTCGCAATAATTTCCTAGTTCCATTGCTTCCATGAATGTTCTTCGCCTCCGTTAATCTTGTCTCAATCATCAACTTCTAATGTTTCCATCTAGCCCGTTTCACGACCGGGACTCGGCCCTACAATGTAATTTGTCACCGGGAACGCACGGCACGTGTCCGAGTCCAGGTGGCAGGTGCTTGGCCCAGCTGGACCCCTGGATGATCTGTCTTGGAAGTGGAGCAAACAAGTTTAAAGCTGGTGCTGAAGAGAAGGTAATGTCGTTGTCAGGCAAACTACGAACAACATCCTTAACATGGTTCCTTGACTCACTCCCCCGCACCGCTCAACTAAAGCCATACAAACGTGCAGGTCTTCAAGCTGAAAATGAGAAGAGAAGCGCCCGAGTTACCAGCAAATTTTCAATCGTTTGCATTCATTTTGTGAATCAGCGATTGTTATGCAAGTAACTTGACTTTAACAGAACATTGCTCGTTGAGACCATTCGCAAAAGCGCCACCGAATCCGTCCTCACTCCCAGTCCAAGAGACCAAGTAGAAAATCTGATAACTGCGTCAAAGCTGACAACTTATCCCAGAAAGATGAAGTGTTCGACGTCTTCTGCGTCTGCAATGCCAAAAGACGCGAGTCAAAGTATGCTCTCTCCGTAGCACTTGATTGCTTCTGTTGCTCTTGCAACTTGATCATCTCTGCAGTCAGTCGTTCCATCTCGGCCTTCCACGCTTGGCCCATGACTTCTACCTGCATCTTCTCCTTCTCCATTTGAGCAATCTTGGCTGCCCCAGCCTTTCCCTCCATTTCGGCCAAGGCACTGTTGAACTTTTCCATGACCTCATCCATCCGACGCTTCGCTGCATCCTGCTCTGACTGAGACTGCTTCTCCAGACTTTGAAGTCTTTCATGCAAAGCCTTCTTCTCCCGTTCCACTCGAATCATCTGATCTGTAAATTCCTGCTCTTGGCGCCGTTGTCCCTCTCTGTTCTCAGCTCGTAGTGCTGCCTGTTCATTCATGAGGTCCCTAACTAACGCCTTCTTTTCCTCTTCCTTCTTCTCAAGGGCCGTCTGAAGAGCCATGTTCTGTTCGAGACGAGCCTTCTCCATATTTCTCCTGCAAGACTCTGATGTCCTCCTCAAACTTCGCGCGTAAGTCTGCCAACTCATGATTGAGCGCCACACCAGCTGTGGTCTTCGTAACATCGAGGCCTTGGTCTACCATTTCCTTCTGCACTTGCAGGACAACAGGAGGCAAACCAGAAATCTCCAATAGTAGATCAACGGCGGATCCCTGTGTATTGTTGAAGCGCCGAATCTGCGATCCCTTACTCTTCATTTCGCCCCACCAATCAGGTTTTTTGAGAAGCTCCCGCTCTCTTTCCTCTCCTACGCTGACATCTTTCAGCTCATCCCAAAAAGTCATAACAAGGTAAACGTTGCCGAAGAAATTGACTCCACGCAGATAACGAAACATGTCAAAGTTCCTCTGGATCCCATTGCTGACACGCTCATCCTTGATGCGATGAAGATATATAATCCCACTGAGCTTGAGCTTTCTCTTATATGAGGTGCTTAGGGTCTCTGCAATATCGATCAAGATATCGCCATCTGACTCCAGGTCCAGGCAAGAATCAGTGTAAAGGGGTGCTACTAGTTACATTCTCATCATAAGAAAAGTATCCATACTAGCAAGATCAAATCCAAACGACCGCCGGCGACCAGACGACGCCGTGCTCGCTTTTATCACGGAGCGACCGCGAGACAATTCTTGGCCTGACAAGCACCTGCACAGGTCGTTCGTTCAGCCGCACCGTGCTATAATCAGTGGTGTTTCTGGTCAGTTCATGGGCCGTCATTTCCCTGTCCGAAAACGTTGTGAGATTGGGGTGCTCCAAACCCTCAACCATGATACATGTTTTCAGCTTCCACAACTTTTGAGCCTAGGATGAGAACTCCTCATAGTACCCAGCAAGCTCGTCCAGTGCAGATTGAATTGGTGACTTCAGGATAACCCCATTGGTTTGGTAGAACTCTTGAGCGTACCTTCGAAAGGTCTCAGGGCTCCTCAATGTCTCGTGGTCTTGACCATCCCGTCCTTCTAGGACTTCGTAGGTGCTAAGACGCCACTCAACGAATGCCTCCGCTGGAACCGCTTGTCAGTGTCAAGTTCAAGCTCTACCTCGATTGACAATTTCCAGTGATAACACACTGTTGGCCATCCTCAGGATATCACCTCCAAAATGCTCCGGGTATCGGAAGAAGGGGTTTGAGAGAAACTTCTGACAGAGATCCCTTACCAAAGCTCCTTCCACTAGAGCTTGCATGAAACGAGGTCTCATGCTCCGTAGGTGCGTTTCGGCGTTTTGGGTAGAGGGAGCCAGAACCTTGGATTGCTGTAAAGTCCGCACAATTGCCTCATAGTTGGTGATCTCATCCTCGGCAGCCATGTAGTCGCAGATCCATCCTTGAAACTCGTCGCCATTAAACAGCTTCCGAAAAAACCAATCAACTTTGTCGTCAGCGAATCTACTTGAATTTTCGCTAGCCAGCTGTGCCACAGCAAGCTCGCGAAGGTTATCAATGAATCTTTCCTGTATGACAGTCTTATCCTCAAGCTTCAAAATGAGTTCTCGTCCTTCTTGTTACTCCTGCCGGTGTTTACAGGGCGCATCCGGCTGTGACTGTGAGCTGAAAACATTCGACAGTGGTCTTCAATAACTTCAAACCTCTTAACGATCCGGGGGGGTTAAGAATAATTCCTCCTAAGCTTTGAAAGTCGCCCGGATCCTGGGACTCTTCTGGAGATGCTTGTGCCTTTGGCTCTTCTACGAAGACTGGGACCAGAATCTGCTTGGCTGAGACGAGTATCTGCTAGTCGCCAGTTGCTTCTGCCCTCGCTTCTTTTCCTGTAAACGGGAGAAGGAGGTTGCATGACTCCCTGAGGTTCCTTGTTGTGTGTCGAGGGACCCTCGGAAGCCTCATGATCCTCATGATTATCGACACTCCTTTCCCGAGGCTTAGATCTTTCCGAGCTTTGGTAAGAATAAGTCGGCGGAGGTTCGAAATTTCCTGGCCGAAGCTTTCGCCGGTCCTCGTGCTTTTGAAGCAATGTGTTCCTTCGATTATCGACTGGGACGACACTGACTTCCGGAAGCAAATTGTGCTGCACGGTAAGTTAGGATATGCTCGTTCACTTTGGCGGCCTGAGAAGCTACCAACCTCGATTTGTCTAATCGCAGGCCCGACACGAGCGTCGCTGTAGATATGGGTTCCTCACCTCGAAGAGTTGAAGGTGGGTATGGGGCGGCTTTCCATGATGGAGAATTGAAAGAAAACGTAAGTTAGGGCATGAAATATTTGCTTCTGGATCTTGATGATTGTGGTGATTTCTTTTTGCAGGAAGAGGACATGACTTTCATTTCTTATAGTAAGCACACTAAGCACAGAGAAACCTTTGGACCATTGGTGTCTTGCCTGTAAATCGCCCGGAGTCACAAGGCCTCTCCCTCCGGACCCAGGCATATCTCAATCAACTTACACCGCCTGGCGACTTGCTCTAGTGACTGTAATCAATTCCACGGACTTTTTGAGGCGACTGACTGGCTTGAATGCAAGGGATTTGGTACCGAAATGTCTCACCGACCAGACCCTTACCGAGCAGCTGGATCATTCAGCCCATCAAAGCTGATCACAATGCTCCTTGGCATACCGCGTAATATATCCAGCCTCATAAATACTCCACCACACTGCTCATCCATGCAAACCACTGGAAGTACTACAACCAAATTCTACATCTGAAACTTGTTGCTAATTTGTCCATAATCTATTCGCCAAATGAATATTTCCGTTCGACCGCGTACAAAGCTCGTTGTTGGCCTCGACTATGGGACAATATATTCTGGCATCAGTTTCGCTCTGTCCAATGCCGCGGACTTCAGGGACATCTACCCCTGGACGAAGTTTCCTGGAGCTGCAACCCATGGTTCTAACACTGCGAAAAGGCACCTTCGCGGATGGCTTATCAGAACGAGAACCGTGATGATCTTGGACATGACGTTTGGGGCTATCAGAAGGAGTCAGGTCTGAAGAGCTACTCTTGGACGAAGCTGATGCTTGACGATAGCGCTCTTCCTTCAGATTACGACGACCCTAACCTGAAGCGCAGCCTAGAAGATAGTTTGATGAAACCTTCAGCCGGAAAGACGGCCAAAGACATCGTGACAGACTACCTTCGTGGAATGTATACTACGTTCCAAACCGCAGTTGAGGAGCAAATAGGACGGGAAAATCTGCAGGACTTCCCGATGGGTGTTTGGCTCACGGTCCAGCAATGTGGTCTGAGAAAGCGAAAATTCTTACACAGGCTGCAGCAAAGGACGCAGGCTTCGCGTCAAGGTCTATTGATAGGATCATGCTCATACCCGAACCAGAGGCAGCAGCACATATGGCTCTGAAAACCAGCGTGAATCATGTGCATGATCTTGTAGAAGTGAGTTATGAGAAAGCAGTCTATGCTTACATCGTGTTGACAGCTCATAGGAAGGAAGTGGTGTCATGGTTTGTGATCTTGGTGGAGGCACAGTGGTAGGTCGGTTGCTTATCCTGTCAGGCTGATTTACTAAAGACCAAAGGACATTACAACGTACGAGATTGAAAGGATATCGCAAACTCTCAGACTGAAGGAACTTTGTGTCGGCAACGGTGGCAAATGCGGCGGGACATATGTTGATCGCAACCTCCATGAGCTTCTTGCTAAACAATTCGGAACAGCGTTCACCTGCCTCCCCTATACTCAAACTGGCCCTGGAAGTGAATTCGCTGACCAATTTGAAGATAAGAAGAAGGAATTCAGCGTTCAGACTGCCAGCAGAAGGCCTATGAGACTTAGCCTCAGGATGGAGGGCCTGGCAGGAATGCCGAGACTAGCAGATTACTACGACCAAGGCCTGTCTAAGGTTCTCTTGACTAGGCAAGACATGCAAAGTCTTTTCGATCCAGTGGTGGAGAAGATTCTGCAGCTTGTGACTGACCAAGAAACTCGGACAAGGGGAAAGAGAGGGAAAACCACCAGCACTCTTGTTCTTGTTGGAGGCTTCGGGTCACTCCCATACGTCAAAGACAAATTGAAGGAGTGGTGTGGCAAATGGAACATTCGACTAACAACTCCCATGAATGGAGCGTAAGATTTCATGAAACGAAGCGGAATATTTGATGGTACTGACTTGGAGTTCCTATAGTCAGCCATTGTATGTGGCGCAGTCTTGAGAGGTGTGGAAGGCTCGATTACCACTGAAAAGAGGTGCAGACGCCACTATGGGCACAAGGTATCCCGGCCATATCATTCAGAGAAGCATAAGGGATACGATGCGTCGAAGCGGCGACTGTACATCGATCCATTCAAGAAAACTACTTACTTACACGGATTCATGTCTTGGATGATTGGAAAGGTTGGTTAACTGCGCGTTAACTACTGGAAACGATGCTAACAGTGTTTAGAATGACAAACTGTGAGAAACCTCCGAGATCGACACCCGTTATCGAAAGCACTTCCGACGGCCTCTTGAAACGAAATACTCTCACGACCTGTATGCCTGCCTGTAGCTTAGATCAAGCTCCTGCGACAGTAGAGAACGACAGTAAGTGCCCTTAACAGAACCACGCTTCTGTAAAAGCGATTTTTGCTGATGCGAGTGCAGGAGTCGAGAAAATCGGAAGGGTCGAATACACGATTGATGGTCTTGACGTGGACAGCGACAGCGGAGTTGAACGGATCATGGACCACGGGCGCATGGTGTATGGGGTTCTGCTCACATTGAGAATCAAGATGAGCAACGAAACAGGGCTTCTGATATTCAAGATCATGGTCGGAGAAAAGGAGGTCGGGCAAGCGAAACTTGCATTTTCAAGCATATGAACATCCAGAGCAGCGAATGAGCAAAGCCGCTTTCCATGTAAATGTCGCGAAACTGCACTCTGGTACTCAGGAAACACGATGTTGCGATTCAATCTTCAGAGTCGCCAAACAAGAATATGAATGCTGGGTACCCACCCAGGCATGTCCTGCAACTCGCATCGTGCCTAGAGGCCGGAAGTCTCTCTCTCTATCGAGTTAAGCCCCGGTGATATCCAAGGCACATCAAGACTGCATGGATGTGAGCATGAAAGAGGGTAAGTAATAACCAATAAGCCTCTTGAATCCACAATGTGAAATCCTGGTACTCCTGAGTCCTGGGCTGTCGGTCCACGGCTACCCACTCACGGGAGTTCGGACACACGGACCATCCGCTGGTGTCGTCTCACCTTCAGCTCCCTTCACCGCATCTACCTGGGTCCAGAGGTGCTGAGGTGCATGGGTCCCATCTGCGAAGTACCGGGGACAATAGGTACTATCCATGGGTATCCGTAGCTATCTGAGCTTGTAGTTGGCTACCTCCCCAGCTCCCCTCGCACTCACATGCACTTACCCCTCTGACGTCGCTCTCTGGACCCTGTTTCATCGCCGCCTTTACCTAACATCAACTCCGAGTTCCCCTCCTCCTCCAAAGCTTCCTTCAACGACACTCACCTGCTTTAGACCGGGACTCTTACAACTCCCACATTCTTCCGTGACACCCTTTATTCATTTCCATCGCTCCGTGTCTACTCTTCCATCTCGGCCTCATTTCAGCTCACAAAACAGCTCCCCGCCGCCATGGATCACATCTTCCGCAAGGTGGAGCGGGGCATCGACGCCCTTTTTGGGGATGAGCGACACGCCCACACTCACTCGGGCCACGAGTGCCATGAGCACCATCCCGCCGGCCACGCCGAGAACAGATTCCAGTCTTTTGCGCCTCAGACCACCGGCAATGCCAAGTGGTACGTCGACGGATGCTCCTACTTTTGGGCCGTTTCCGAAGCTATCGAACGTAAGCTCACACTACGATCATACTGGTACTTCCAAATACGAATCATCTCTCCCTGACTAAATGAGCTACAGAGGCTCGCGAGAGCATTTACATCTTGGATTGGTGGCTGAGCCCGGAGCTGTACCTGCGCCGCCCTCCCTCTCAGAATGAGCGTTACCGCATCGATAACCTGCTCAAGGCCGCTGCCGAGAGGGGTGTCAAGATTAACATCATCGTGTACAAGGAGGTTGAAGCCGCCTTGACCCGTGAGTGATCCCAACGCCAAGCAGTCATCTGAACCCCATGCTAACAAGTAACGACAACTAGTCAAGTCCTCTGTAAGTCAATATCAGTTGTGTCAATATATCAACAATATGTGCTCATAGAAATCGAGTCATGCTGACATTCTCATCAAGCACACAAGGACCTACCTGGAAAGCCTTCATCCCAACATTGGCGTGTTTCGACACCCTGACCATGTGCCCACCGGATACGACTTCCAGGCTGAGCTCAAGCAGAACTTCGCCAACATGAACGTCAACACCTTCACTCTGTCCAAGGCTTCCGGCGATGCCATCAAGGCCATCTACGGTACCGCCACCGATGGAGTCACCCTGTTCTGGGCCCATCACGAGAAGCTCTGCCTGATTGACGGCAAGATTGCTTTCATGGGAGGTCTCGATATGTGTAAGTTGTGATGCCAAGTGTAGATGTCACTCACTAACAGTTTTATAGGCTTTGGCAGATGGGACACCAACAGTAAGTTGAGGTTATCTTTAAAACTTACACGAGCCGTGTTTAACAGGAACAGGTCATCCCATTGCGGACGCCCACCCCGGCAACCTGGATGCCGTTATCTTCCCTGGCCAAGACTACAACAATGCCCGTGTCTACGACTTTGCTGACGTCGACAACTGGGAGCAGAACAAGCGTGAGTGAAGTCTGGAAGGCTATGCCTATTCTCTATGCTAACATTGCAACAGTCGACCGCACCAAGAGCTCTCGCATGGGCTGGTCCGATGTCAGTCTCAGCTTGAGCGGTCCTATCGTGGCAAACTTGGCAGACCACTTCGTTGATAGATGGTCCGTACTAGAAAACTGGTATTCCTAATGGTTGCAAAGTTGAGAACTGACAGTGAGTAGGAACTTCATCTACGGCGAGAAGTACGGCAAGAAGAACCCTGGAAAGTACCAGGCTCTGGGAGGAGCAGCCGCCAACGCGGACGCCGGCAGAATCGCCGAGAATGAGACGGAGAGCGGTGGTCTCTTCGGCGGTGGTGGCCATACCAGCCACCTTTTTGGCGATCTCTCTGAGCGTATCAACCGAGGTATCAGTCGCATGGCAGTCAGTGACGACAACCAGGACGACGGTCCCGTTAGAGTCGACCGTGGCAACCGTGCTGCCAACATCCAGCTCACCCGAAGGTAATCAACATTCTTATCTTGACAGAATGAGATACTGATGGACTATCACAGCTGCACGGAGTGGTCTGCTGGTCACCCAACCGAGCACTCAATTGCGAACGCCTACATGCATGCCATTACCAATGCTCAGCACTACGTCTACATGGAGAACCAGGTACACTCCCCCTTCCCCTTTTCCTCCCTCAACTTCATCCGCACGCCATCTAACACAATAGGAAGTTCTTCATCACGGCCACCAGCAAAGAACAGCACCCCGTCACCAACAAGATCGGCCGCGCCATCGTGGACCGCATCATCCGCGCCCACCAAAACGGCGAAGACTTCAAAGTCATCGTCGCCATGCCCGCTGTCCCTGCCTTCGCCGGTGACCTCAAGGCCGACGACGCCCTCGGCACCCGCGCCATCATGGAGTTCCAATATAACTCCATCTCCCGCGGCGGACACTCCATCATCGAGACCCTCCGCTCCGAAGGCGGCATCGACGACCCGGGTCGCTACATCCGCTTCTACAACCTCCGCAACTACGACCGCATCAACATCTCCTCCACCATGGCCGACGCCGAAGGCCGCTCCGGCGTCCGCTACGAGGACGCCCGCCGCGAGCACGACGACAACGTCGGCGCCGGCTACGGCGAACAGGGCCAGGGTTACGGCACTCGCGGCGACTCCCAGTACGAGCGCTACCAGGAGGCCGCCTCCCGCGTCTCGGACCAGACCTGGGACACCGTCTCAGCGTGCTACATGGACAGCGGCCGCGACCTGCACTCGGTCCCCTGGCACGGCGAGCCCGAGGCCGAGCTCGACGCCTACGTCAGCGAGGAGCTCTACATCCACTCCAAGCTCCTCATCGCCGACGACAGCCTCGTCATCTGCGGCTCCGCCAACCTCAACGACCGCTCCCAGCTCGGCACCCACGACTCGGAGATCGCCGTCGTTATCGAGGATCCCACCCCTATCGAGTCCGAGATGGCCGGACGCCCCTACACGGCCTCCAAGTTCGCCACCTCCCTCCGCCGCCAAATCTTCCGCAAGCACCTCGGCCTCCTGCCCGACCAACCCTGCGACCGCCCCAACGGCAACTGGACCTCCATCGAGCGCGGGCCCAACGAATACGACTGGGACTCCCCCGCCGACCGCCTCGTCCGCGACCCCATGTCGCGCGAGTTCTGGGACCTCTGGCAAGGCACGGCCCGCACAAACACCGAAGTCTTTACCAAGGTCTTCCACAACGTTCCCAACGACCGCGTCCGCACCTGGAAGGATTACGACGAGTTCTTCTCCAAGTACTTCATCATCCCCGGCGCCAAGAAGGAGGACGACAAGCAGAAGGAAGAGGAGGCCAACCGCGGCAAGGTCGAGTACGGCCACGTCGTGCGCGAGGAGTTCCCCGGCGGCGTGCGCGAGGTCAAGGACTGGTTGCAGCGCGTGCGTGGCAATATTGTTGAGATGCCGCTCGACTTCCTCGTCGACGTGGACGATATCGCAAAGGAGGGTCTGTCTCTCAACAGCTTCACTGATGAGATTTACACGTAAAAGAAAAACGGTGTGACGATGATCGGTGTTCCGTTTGTAGGACGTAAAACAGAATCAACAAAAAAGTAGGAGAAGAGGAGAAAAACAAAACCAGATTTGGGGCGGATTACAGAAACAAGCGAAAGAACGATGTGGTGGGGACAGTTTGGAATTTAGAGCTGGGAGGAAACAAATGACTGTTTCTGGGTGGGATTTTACAAAGCAGCCTCTTCCGGTCCAATGTCTCGTGTGTGTGTAACAATGAATCAATAGCTTCTCATTCAACCACTACTACCCTTTCTACACCCACATCCCCTGAAATACCCGGGTCCTCAGGATCGCGAGCCCAAGTGAACAATACTACTATCATGTCACACCAAGTCATTCGAGCAACATACCATTTCAGCAAAGTCACTCACTGCAAAGACTGTGCCCAAAGGCTACGCACATCTCAAGACCGAGAGTCATGACGAGTGAAAATGTCAAATAAACAATGTATAATCTGTCAAAGTGGCATGTAGACGCGGGGGCGTTGGTTGTATTTCCTCCTCCTCCGCTGCCACCGCCGCTGCCAAACGTAAGGAGTATTTATTATACAGACCTCTAGGCCATATCGGCCAATTCCCACACCAAAGAGAGAGAGAGACACACAGACACGCAGCGGGAAAAAGAAAAATGAAAAGAAAAAAAGTCCCCGTCAACTCCGTGAGTAGTTCACCTCAATGCTTTGGGTTTTTAATACGTCATCTGCTTTCCCGTCGTGGACGTGAAGAAAAGCAAAAAAAAGACACACCCTTTTGACGTCAATGTTCCCCAAATCGTCGTAGCCTCATTCATGGCCTTCCCATTAGTCCAACTTGCCAAGATCATGCTGTGCAAGGCACCGCTGCTCCTCCAGCCTCTTCCATTCCTGTTCGAGCAAGTTCAACTTCTAGTCCACCTTGCCGTTGCCATTGGGTCCCAGGAGACCCTCCTTCATCAGCTCCTTGTTGCCCCATGATTCTTCCAGGCGGAAGTGGCCGCCACGGCCCTTGCGGGAGCGGCTGCGGAACCATGAGAAGGCTCCAAAGGCCAGGCCAAGGATGCAGCCCATGGTCAGGTAGGGATGCTCGACAAAGGTGACGCGAATGTCAAAAAAGATCTTCTCAAAGCTCGAGATGGTGAGCTTAGGCTTGATCTTGGGCGGCGAAGAGACGACCTTGTTAATGGTCTCCAAGATCGACGTCCGAGACAAAAGGATGTTGTTGCCAGTAATAGTGGTATCCCAGTAGCGGCGGTTCTAAATGACAAGTCAGTCTGGCTGCTCATACGCATGTGTATGTCGGCTGTACTTACATCCTCGTCGTTGATAATGACACGGTCTCCGTCCTTAGTGTCAATGCCGTAGGTGGTGCGAATCCACCTCTGCCAGAAGACACTGTCGACCCAGGCAAAGCCAACCTGCTTGCGGTCCGACTTGTCCATGTTGATGCGGATGGCCTTGGCTGCGCGCAACGCACGCCCATCGCCGCGGTCATCGGCCTCATCGATTCTGAGCTGCTTGGCATCTCGAAGCTCTTGCCTTTCGTGCTGGAAATTCTGGATCTGCTTATCCATCCACTCGTTGGCAGCACTCTTCAACTCGCGCTTGGCTCTGAGGAAACCTTCCTGGTCTTCCCTGTTGACAATTCCGAGGACGACAACCTTGCCATCCATGATCTCGCGGGCGTTGGAGGCGGTCATCTCGGGAACAATCGGAAGCCAGACTGACTTCATCCAGTTCAAGACTTGGTGAATATCACGCATCTCCTTGGGTGTCAGCGGCTGGTAGTACGTAGGGCGGCCCTCTCTGGAAACGAGCAGGCGAGGCCAGGTAGTGATCTTATAACGGGCGAAAAGAACGGGATCCTTGGTCTTCACAAGCTTTGCCCTGCCAATCAGACTGAGAGGGATGCGCTCAAGAGCCATGAAGTCCTCAGTCGTAGTGGCATGGTCGTAGAAGTAGATGAAGATGACCTCTTCCTTCTCCTCGAGAACCGCCAGGGACTCAGCGTCTACATCCAGTACTCCTTCGCTGATGTCGATGGCCTTGTTAGCGTAGTGAACGAAGTCGCCGAGGCCTCTCAGACCATCGTACTCGACACGCTCGCCACCCTTGAAGAAGAGGATCGTGGGGTAGCCGCGGAGACGGACGTCCTTGCAGAGTCTGGTCTCCACGTCGCAGTTGACCTCTCCGATATTCAGACGACCCTTCATTTCCTTGGCCAGTTGCTGCCAGTTAGGTGCCATGGCCTGGCAGTGATGGCACCAGGGCGCGTAGAACTTGACAAACCAGGGGTCCTGGGTCATGGTGACCAAGGTCTGGAATCTCTCGGCACTCAGGGGCACAGAGGCACCTTCTTTGTTAGGCGTGACTGTAGGTTTCTTAACGACGGCCTTGGTAGGAACGGCGATAGCCTTTTCGGTGGTGCTGGGCTTCGCATCTGCCTTGGCGTCGGCCTTTGCGTCAGTCTTTGTACCAGTCTTCGCGTCGTCCTTGGCATCGCCCTTGGTGTCAGCCTTCGCATCGGTCTTGCCCGCAGGCTTATCGTCCTCCTTCGCGGGAGGAGCCTTCGGGGGGGCCTTGGTCTCTTCCTTGGGCGGCGTCTTCTCGTCGGCCTTTGCGGGAGTCTTGCTATCAGTCTTGGCATCCGTCTTGGCGTCGGCCTTGTCGTCCACAGACTTCTTCGAATCGTCGGTCTTTCCAGAGGCTGCCTTTTCGGGAGAGGTCTTGTCGCCAGGCTCGGGATACTCGAGGCTGCGGGGCCTGGTTCCGGGCTTGGCCGCCTCGAGGTACTTCTCGAGGATGGGGCTGATCTGGTCAATGTCCTTGACACCCTTGATCAACTCGGCCAGCTCGCCATTCTTGTAGAGGATGGTGCTAGGGTACGACGCGACGTTGTGGGAAGCGCAAAGATCGAAGTAGGCCACGCAGTTAATCGTGGCGAAGCGGAAATCGTAGAGCTCGGTAAAGGTCTTGTCCTCCTTGGACTCGGGCTTCGAGGTGTAGTACCACTCGTAGAGGGTCTGGTATATCGGCGCATAGTCCATGCAATGCGGGCAGTAAGGGCTATTCCATTGTAAGCACGTTGCGCGAAGGGCGGGTAAGCGATAACATGGTCGGGTACCTGTAGTGCTTGATAAGCATGAATTGCGAGGCCTTGACCTCCTTGTCGAAAGTATCCGGCGTTAGCTCGAGTATTGGTGGCACTTTCATGGAGTTGAAGTAGGTGTTCTCCCGTTCATCCTTGTCTGCCTCTGCTGCTTGAACCCCGGATAGCAGGGTCGAGCCCAGGAACAGGAACAAAGGTGATAACCTCATTGCGGCGATGAGGGTGCACCGCGTGAGTGCGATGACTTTAGAGCGTAAGATAAGTAGCAAAGTCTGTCAGACGATGCCAGTAACGACGGCTAAGCAAACGCAAGCAATCGAAAGGGCGCGGCAAAGCGCGGTTGTGCCGTCAATTCGCAATGGGAAGGTGCAGCGTCAGATAGGTGTGGATCGAATGGGAAGTCGCGATTGAGGTGGTTCGAGGGGTTTGCAAAGGATTTAGATAAAACCTTTTAGATCGCCGAAGACATGGAGGGTAGAAAAGTCGAGGAAGAAGCTAATGTTCCTTTCGTAGTCTGGGTCAAAGCCCCCCGAAAATCGTCCAGCGGCGTCGAAATGAAGGGGGAAAAGGGTGGTGGAAGGTTAGGTTGGTGTTGCTTTTGGCAAAGGGGGAAGCCAAGCAAAGGGACCAGCGAAAGCGAGCGACAAGACTGGCAGGTCAGGAGAAAGACCGTGTGTCAAGATTCTGTAGCGCGGTCCAGGTTCTCTGGCTGTGCAACGGCTGGCACCAAGAACCAGAACCAGCCAAACACGGGAAAAAGAGTTGTGCCTTGAATATGAGGCAACAACGGATGCTTTGTGCGTGTTCTGGGACTCTGGGACTCTGGCAAGTCTGGCAGTAAGTCTGGCAGTAAGGCCACCGTCTCCACTGTCAGTCAACCCGTCCGTTCTTGGTGTCCCCTGGCAGAGTCTGGCTGGCTGGCGGGCGGGAGGCGGAGAGTGTGGGAGAACAGCGGGAACTTGTGGTGCCAGCTGCCTGCCTGCTCGATCTGTCCCCACAGACATTGGTTCATTTCGCCATTCAAAGTTGAGCAAAGTTCAATCTTGCATCTTGGGGCGGCAGCAGGGTGGGTCCAAATTGCGATAAGAATAGAAAGCTGCTTATCCATCTAAGATCGCCACTTGAATAATCAATTGTTGACCACGCGTGCCACGCAAGAATCTCTGGGAACGATAGAAGAGTGTTCCAATGGCACGTGCGGATCGTCATTGCATCCCACGAGGGATAGGAAATTCAAGCTCGGGGCTTTTCCCACCCCACGATAGGACCCTGAAGGCTTCTTCGTTTGATTCCTGAACCAGACTCTTGTTCACTCTTTGCTAAACTGAGTCAACGACTAATCCACATCGTTACTGATGGTGCTCAAGAATCTGCTGGAGCTGATATCATCGACATTCAAGAAGCTCCGTTCAGAACCTCCCGATGTAGAACCCAATAAGAAGTCCTCGAGATTACGTTGTCGGATCTCTTCCAACAGGTTCTTGAAAGCCAACCACTCGCTAAATGTCGGCACCGTCTCGCCCGGCTCTCTGGAGTCTTCCCTGCCATACAGCCTTGCGGTTATCGTCTTCATTGGAGTATCACCAGCCGCATTCGCTTGATCGGGATCCAACCCGCGGATACGAGCATCACTCAAAATATCAATGAGCTCCTGGTTGGCAGTCTGGGCCGCGAAGTGGAGGACTCCAGAACCACTCTTGTCGATGGCATCGAGCCTGGCTCCGTGTTTGATCAGGAGCTCCGACAGAGCTGCGTTCCGACGCAGAATCGTGTCTCCGATAGGTGTTCGGCCTTCTAAACCCCTCTGTTTTGTCGGCAGATTAAGGTCCATGCCGGCATTGCAGAGCAGGTCGAGAGATCGATCCCAGTAGCCCCTCCTCGGATCCCAACGGACAACGTTGTTATTACGGACAATTGTGTACGTGAGCGGGCATATCCAGTCTGTGTCAGTCTCCATCACCAAAGCACTTCCTCTCTCCATTAGTAGTTCCAAGACATCGGGTCTATCAAATGCGAACATGATCGCCGTGTTTCCATAACGGTGGTTGTTGACCTGGGCATCAAGATCTGCACCTGCGTCAAGGAGTGCTTGGGTCATCCTCACTGAACCAAGGGGTTCGTACTGTGCGGCGAAATGCAGAGGTGTCCGCCCGGTGTTGGTAGTCGTCGATAGGTTGGCACCACGGTATAGTAGCATATCGAACGAAGCGTAATCAGCCAGGTAGATCGCCCAGTGTAGTGGACACCATCCGTAGCTATTTAAGCTATCAATATCAGAGCGGGCTAGTGTGATTGCGTCTGACAAAGATATCGATACCATCCCAGAAACTGCGTCATGTATCAATGACGATGTGCCAGCTTCTTTGGAAAACGTCAGCTTCTCAAGCAACCGAAGTTGCTCGGGTTCGAGAGAGTGTAATAGGTCCTCCTTTGCCAAACAACAATAGATCAGGCGATACTTGCTAGCAGCAGTCCTAAGATGGATTAAACTAGAACCAAGCATGGCGGCACCGGATCAAGCTAACTTACTGGCCAAAAACATTTTCGGCATATAACGGCCATCCTTGCTTGACCAGAAATTCCGAAAGTATCAAGTCCACACCGTTTAGCGACATCTAGAGACGTTACAAGACATAAGCATAAACACCTAGCATCTACAGATATTGAAATGCATGGACGTACCGAAAGAAGGGAGCTCCCATCCTCATCTACATCCGTAGGCAGTACAGTTGAGTTGGCGATCCCTCGTTTTATCCATTCGATGTCGCGGCTGTTTGCAATCCATCTCAGTCTGTGTCCTGAAATCACTCGTGGGATGCGTAAGTAGATCGAACAGCCGGCCCCGGTCAGACTTTCCCGAGAAGTGGCTATAACCAGGGCACGTAGAAGGAGCCATCTGGGAAATATATATATCATCCGCGACGAAGCTGGTGCTCCGGCACACGCCAGGAGATCACACTTTCTGGCCCCCAACAGTGATTTGCTGTTGTATTCGAGGAAGACAGTCCCGGATATCATACTTAGCCATGTCGGTGTCTGTAGCCTAGAGTGGTGATGGCATTGACATTTGCAATACGGTGTGCATTTCCGATGGACTACAGTTTGAGCTGGCAGAAACGGACTGCCGCCGATTTCTCCATAGCGTGGGCCGCTGCTAATCATAGTAGAAGGCTGGTTTCTATCTTGCAGTGAGTCCTCTAATTCAAGAGTTTTGACATACATCTGTCTAAGACAGGCCTTCACATCGTCTAAACCGGCTTGATTCATGAGTTGCATGTCTCGATTTATCCTGTATTCCTCGTCCAGATTCCGGAAAGAGCTTTCAACGAGCTGACGGGTTTCGAGTATAGCTCTGGTTTGACGAGAGCTGTTTATAGTCAGCAACGCGTGAAATAGCGCCTGTCTTTAACCGTCAACTTATGCTTACCTTTGCGATGAAAGGAGAGCACTAAGACAAAGCATCAAGGAGGCCTTGGTCTTGTTTGCCCTGCACTTGAGCTTGGTAACATGGCTTCTTTCCCGTATCCACTTTGACGTTGAGACTCGTAGTTGTCCGTTCATCTCTTCGTCATGGTTCGTTCCTGTAAGGCGATGACACAGCGCCAGAAGCTCATCTTGTATGGCTTCAAGGTCCTGTTTCAAAGCCAAGGTCGGAGCTACGTCCAGCGCGGGAAGAGCGACATCCCCATTCTCTAGTTCCTGAAGAGGGTTCCTGACCTGCTCGATGACATTACGAAGAGTAGTAAGTTCGTCAACGAGGTCGCGAAAGTCTGCCGGTGCATGGCGAAGGGAAAGGAGTATTTTGACTCCTTTACCAAGAGCGGCCGATGCCTGTAGCAAAGCGATGATGCTTGCAGCGGTAGAAAGAGGATCCATATCGAGCTGGAGGCGGACAGAGAGAACGGAGAGGGTGAAGAGGAGGCTTGGATACTTTTGTCGACTTGAGTTAGGTGGGAGTGAGATAATGCCAAGGTAGCCTGCCTGTCGCATATTAGCTGAATTGTTTGGGCGAATCGTTTCCTCTGATATGTAATAGAGGCCGGCCGAATTGGGACCAATAGAGCGAACCTGGGAGGCAGTGTGAAGTTGGAACTTGCAGGTGAAAGCTCAACCTATTAAAGCACTCCACCAAAGGAGCCCAACGCAGGCTGAGGTCGAAAGATTGTTCGTCTGCCCGGGAAGAGACTCCCTGAATTACATTTTGTACGGCAAGGCACTGCAGTTGTTGAGTATTTGGTACCTAATCTATCTCTAATTACCTTAATTACTTTACCTGGCGCACTTATTGACACTAAGGTAGATGCACCGCAGGCTAGTAATGGCGGCAACGTAGGTGCCGCAAGCATCGGGTTCCGCTTACTCTCTCTCTCTCTATCTCTCTAAAAAAAGAAACAAAAAAAGGCCGGCTTCAAGAATCGCCAGGACCGCGAGAATTTCTTTTTCACAACGACTTATACAGCTCAATTTTCAACTAAAATTCGGTGCAAAAGGGGTTGGCTTTTGTCTTGGAAGGCAAGAGGTGCCAAGTTGTTGCTCTAGGCAGGTGGCTCCGGCTCAGATCAGTTTAGGCATGCAACCGCAGCGGGCTTCACCGTTGCGGTTCCCCCTGTACCATCCATCCACCTCACAACGTTTCAACCACCAACCCATCTCAAGTGCTTCACTTACTCGTCTGCTCGGCTGACCCAAAACCCTTTTTCTCTGAGAACGCCGCACACGATCACTTATTGATCCATTTACCGCCATGGAGCGAGCAAACAAACGGCAGCGGCGTGCCGAGGACGTGGAAGAACCACGGCCGACAGCTCATTCAAACCATCTGGAATCCCTCAACCGACCTATAAGTCCACCCATGAAGAGAAAACAGCCAGGCATGCGCATTAAGTCGCCGTTCCAGCTGACGACCATCCGGGATCTTCCCGAGGCTGCCAACCGTGACTGTGTTGGCCTCGCAGACATCCTGGGTGATCCTATGATTGCAGAGTGTTGGGAGTTCAACTTTTTGCACGACATTCACTTTCTCATGAGCCATTTTGATGAGGACACCAAGAACTTAGTCAAAGTTCACGTCATTCACGGTTTCTGGAAGAGAGAAGACCCGAATCGCATAGCCCTTCAGGTCAGCCGACGATGACCAGCAGAAGCCACTTGACAATTCTGGACACTGACATTCAAAAGGAAGAAGCAGAAGCATATCCTAATGTTAAGCTACATGGGGCTTTCATGCCGGAGATGTTTGGCACTCACCACACGAAAATGATGGTGTTGATCCGGCATGACGACTCGGCCGAAGTGATCATACATACAGCCAACATGATCGCCAAGGACTGGACGAATATGACCAATGCTGTTTGGAGATCACCTGTTCTGCCACTCCTACCGAAAGAGGTGGTCGTTGAGAATGAGACAGCGGATAGCTATCCTTTCGGAACGGGAGAAAGATTCAAATACGACCTTCTCAGCTACCTCAGAGCGTACAACACACGGAGACCAATCCTTATAGACTTGGTCGAAAAGTTGTGCAAGTATGACTTCTCGAGTGTGCGTGCAACACTCATTGCTAGCGTCCCGGGCCGTCACCCCATCCACGACACTTCACAGACAACCTGGGGATGGCCATCCCTCAAGAGAGCACTGCGCAATGTCCCCGTCCAGGAAGGGAAGTCTGAAATCGCGGTTCAGATATCGTCCATTGCTACTTTGGGAGCCACTGATAGTTGGCTTCATAAATGCCTCTTCGACTCCCTAGGCGTGTCCAAAAACAACTCCCTTGCGACACCTAGGTCAACGTTTAAAGTCGTCTTTCCTACGGCCGACGAGATCATGCAAAGCTTGGACGGCTATGCTTCAGGAGCATCAATCCACACCAAGATTCAATCACAGCAACAGGCGAAGCAATTAGCGTACCTGCGGCCTATCCTCTGTCACTGGGCAAACGATGCGCCTAATGGCAAAGGTCAGGGCACAAGTCTCTGCCAACAAGTACACAACTAACATGTCGTAGTATTGAGCGATGATTCAGTGTTCAAAAAAGCCGGTAGACAACGGGCAGCACCTCACATCAAGACATACATTCGCTACGGCGAAAAGTCGATAGATTGGGCCCTCGTCACATCTGCAAACATTTCCAAACAAGCGTGGGGCGAAGCGGTAAGTGCATCGCAGGAAGTCAGGATCGCATCGTGGGAAGCGGGAGTGCTTGTGTGGCCTTTGCTCATCGCAGACAAAGCAACCATGGTGGGGACATTCGAAACAGATATGCCACCAAACGATGCGGGAGACGGCGAACCGGTTATCGGCCTGCGCATTCCTTACAACCTACCTCTTCAATCGTACGGAAAGGACGAGATCCCTTGGGTGGCAACGATGGCTCATGATGAACCAGACAGGCTGGGTAGAGCTTGGAGTGCTTGGGAGAACTGAGTCCACGCGGCGCATGGTCACATCCGTACTCTTCTCGACGTTGGTATCATTATATTGATCCTCGTTTCCCTGTTCGGCATGTACTCGAGCAAAAGAAACCATTGCTAATCCATATCAACCCGTTGTCGTTTCTCATGGTCGTTAGAAGCAGTGCATTTGGGGTTGCGTTTACGCGCCGACGGCCTCGGGCTCCTTGTTGGCGTCGTAGCCGTACTTCTCCTTGAGAGAGTTGACAAGGGTGACGTACTTCTCCTGGGCCTGCTCGGGGGTGAGGTTGTCGTCGACGACCTTCTGCCACGCGCTCTGCTTCGCCTTGCCCTGTAACGCAAACCAAACGTCAGCTTCCATCACGTGCCAAATTCGGGTAGGGGAGCTCCGGTTGCTTTAAGTGGTGATGCTGCGTACCTTGAGGTCGAACATGCCAGGCTTGGGGGCGCTGGAGATGTCCTCGCCAGTGCTGACCTTGTACAGGCCTATGTTCATAGTTGTATGTTAGCTACGAAAGGAGCCGAGGTAACAGGGGGTGGGCTTGTGGGAAGCGACGCACCGTAGAGCTCGAGGAGCTCGTCATTGCCGGGCTTGGAAGTAAGCTTCTTGCTGTCGGAGACAGCCTGCTTGAAGGCTTCGCTCTGGGGGGCAGACATGATGTTTGTTTTAGGTGTTTGGTATAAGGTTTGAGAGGTTGTGGTTTGTGTAGCAGTGAGGTTATATCGGGGGAAAGGGATTGTTGAGCTTCTCAGTGTTGGGAGGCGGAGGAAAGGGTTGGACGTGTTGGCGGGGTTAGCAAGGAGGTCCCACACTCCCGCTTCATCATATGCTCAAGTGCGCGGGGCAGCTGATGCTGTCATTGGGTCGGCCCTTGCACCTTGTGCCTCAGACCTCTTGCACCGCCACATGTGATGTGGGCGGGAAGCCACAACCTGAGGTGTCGGCTCAATGTCAAGCCGCCTTTCTCCGTAACGTCCAGTCCCTACGCAGGTACATACCTGCGCAGTGAGGTACATTAAACAAGTCATCGAAGCTGCTTGGAGCATCGTTGAACTTTCAACCTGTCCCCTGATCCAACGACCAATCTCATCGGTTTGGAAGATGGATTCTTTGCTCCACTCAAGCGGAAATGCTCACCAGTCCAATCCTTGGCTACCTAAGCAACAGCTACCAGCATCTTCCCTCGACCTGCAGCCTCTTCAAGTCGACGTTAACCGTTTGACCGTGCTTACGGCACTCGGCTGGACTGCAAATTGTTTGCCCGTTCGCGTTGTGCAGCAATGCCTTGCACCTAGCAAAGCAGCCGTCCGGTCCAAAAGGTGGACGTCCGAGCGCTTGATATCCCCAGACTGACATCGCACTCTGCAACGATACACGTCTCTTCGAGCAGAGACGGCGGCCAGCGTCTGATATATTCCCAGTGACGAATGCGTTTGGAAACAGGACACATGGTGCGTGCCTTGAGCGGACGATGACTACTTGACAACATCGACCAAAGGATGGCTGCTTCTCCCGGGAGGGTGTCCAGAATCACTCTCCCCCTGACTAAAGAGACTTGCCTTCCATGGATAAAGCCGCACCAAACGGGCTGGTCCGAACATGACGAACGAATCGGGAGTGACAGCTGCACTCGGACCCGACACGTTACCTCGAAAAGGCACATTGAAGCTCGCTCGAGCAGCTCTCGACACGAGCGGCACATTCAGTGCGAGGAAACATCTATGGAGACGGCAAATGATATCAACAACCCCTACACCATCAGTCACATCCCGACCTGGATCGGCTCGCGATACAGCAATTACGGCCCAAGCTCACTCAACCTTTGTTTTCGTCTCTTCTTTTTTTTGTTTTCTTGTGCAGCTACCAATGTGCCAACGTCGTCGAATGACAGTCCGTCATATCGTGTGGTCTGGGCGTGGGGAAAGCCGAACGGACAACGGGGGATCGACAGGCCCACCCACGGACATGAACATTCCAAAGTGCTTTTCTATCTGACCTACCATCGACCATCCAACCAACCACATGTTGTGTTACCCAAATGGCACGGACTTTGAGACTGAAACCTGGCCAAAAAATACTAATGGCACCAATTCCACGTTCTTCATTAGCATTAGTGCAGCCTGGTGAGGGGACGCGTATCCGGACTCTATGGGATAGGAGGAGGGGGGGCACAGGATCTATGCCGCAAGGATGCCGCCAGGCTTCGATCTGTCCCGGGCCCGAGCATGCTATGAGGGGGGATAAATACCAGACCTCTCGCAGCTCTGGTTGGGAGGTGTTTGCTGATCTGAAGATATCCAGAAACTCCCTGAGAGCCCTTAAATCGACAGTACTTTTGACGTTCCGACTAATACCCTCACTTAGCTTCGTCGAGACGAGTTGTTGACGCATTTCTCATCGAAACCGTGAAGAATAGAGTCATCAAAGCTTGAATTCACACAAGAGACAGACAATATGGTCAAGATAGTCGTCGTACTCGGCGCCGCATACGGCGGCCTGGCCGTGGCTCATCGCCTGCTCAAGTACACACGCCAGACAGAGCCGGACCTCAGAGTGATCTTGGTTTCAAAGGTGAGAGAGACTTTTCTACACTATGATTGGTACATATATAATCACTTGAGCGTTCTCGATTCTCGTAATCAGACGACGCTTGCAGAAGCCGGGGGTGTCACCAAGCTCCGGAGGCCCGTGGGGGACGGCGTAAGACAGCTGCGGACGACCCACAATTTATCTCACCTCTGCCTCATGAAGAGTCGAAGGAGATGGGAAGAGTGAGATGCGTAAGGAAAAGTGTTGGGAATTGCCTCGGAAGAGATGAATTGGAAGGGAAGCGGTACGCAATACTAATGAGAAATGGCAGACAACTCACTTCTACTGGAACATGGGCTCCGTCCGCGCAATCGTCCCAGGCATCGTCCAAGACGACCAAATCTTCCAACCCATCGAGCCAGGCTTCACATCCTACCCAAAAGAATCCTTCGAATTCGTCCTCGGCACCGCCACGGGCCTCGACGTAGCACGTAAATCGGCTCTCGTATCAACCGCCTCGGGCCCCAGGTCCCTACCCTACGACTACCTCGTCCTCGCCACCGGCGCCCGCGCCGCATCCCCCGACATGCCGTGGAAATCATCCTCCTCCCACGAAGAAACCCTCCGCCTCCTCCACGCGACAGCCGACAAGGTGAAATCCGCGAAGCACATCGTTGTTGCGGGCGCGGGCCCCACGGGCGTAGAAGTCGCCGCCGAGATCCGCTTCGAGTTCAAGGATAAAGAGGTCCACCTCCTCGCCGCGGAAGACGAGATCCTCGCGGGTGATTCCATTGCCAAGCCCGTCGAGAACGAGATTACGAGGCTCGGCGTACAGGTCCGGAAGCACGCGCGTGTCGCGAATTCGCGGCCCTTGCCGGACGGTAAGACAGAGGTCAAGCTTATGAGCGGGGAGGTGATCCGGACGGATTTGTATCTGCCGACCATGGGACTCGTGCCGAATACGGAATACCTCGACGCTGGCATGCTGAACGAGCGCAAGTATGTGAATGTGGATGAGTACATGCGCGTCAAGGGCGTCGAGAACGTCTGGGCATGCGGGGATATTATTTCGTTTCCGAGGGCGGGCTTCATGCTCACGGATAAGCAGGTTCGTGTCACATCTCACCCTACCCTCTATTTCCTCTCACAATTTTCCTCTCGCTATCTCTCTCTTATCCATGACTGACATTTTCCAAACGCACAGGCCGCCGGCGTCGTCAAGAACATTGAACTCACAATCAAAGGCAAAGACCAAGCCGTCGTAAAAGGCATGCCCGTCGACGTCTACGTCTGCGCCACGGGTCGCAGCCGCGGTGCGGGCCGCATCGGCTGGGTCAAGGCTCCATCTCTGATGATCTGGGCCGTCAAGAGCCGGAACCTGGGGATGCCCATGGCCGTGCCGTATGCCAACGGTGGCCAGTGGTAAACTGGCGAGGCAGAATCGAAGGCAGAGGAGGCACGGCTTCCGGTGTTTGGTAGCGGGACACAATTTGGAGTTTTTTGATTCATGTAATTACACTTATACGGTTCTACTCAAATACTTTGATACAACTTTCGAAGAAGTGGGTCAGTAACCTGATTTGAATACTCTTCCCACCATCTGAATCGTTGTCAGCGCCTTATCTAACTTTAGAGCTCCGTCCTGATCACTCACCATCCAGGCTTACTCTCGAGTGTCACGAACGTATAAGGAGGCCGTCCCAAAGAATAATGATCAGGGAACCTATTGCCTCAATTTCCATGCTTTATTGTCCGAACCTTTATTTTCTACCCCATAGAAGTTCAATCTTTAGGACAACTGTGCAAACCCTCCTCATCTCATCAATCTAAGCAGGGCAACGGCAAACATTATAGTCTTACATGCACGTAGAGATGGAAAAACAACCCCCTGAATTGGACGTGGAAAATGGTACCCAAACCAGACCAAGCCCATCAATCCCCCTCGGAAGAAGAAAACATATAAAAGATAACCCAAGCAAGCCGCCCGCCCCGCACCTGAAGAAGACGCTGTTCAAATTTGGATTTTTTTTTTTTCCCTTCTCTCCCTTCTCTGTCTCTCTCTCTCTCTCTCCCTCTCATCTTCATCTGCTGGACTTCTCATCCTCAATCTCCCTCCGCAGCTGATCAAGCACGTGCTGCCGCGCCGAGAGATGCGTCTCAAGACCCTCAACCTGCTCCTTGACCGTCTGCAAATCATCCGATACCCCCTTCAGCCCAGAACCGCCGCCCTGGCCCTTGCCGGCACCGCTCTCGAGGTCCTTGAGCTCCTTGCGCTTGTAGTCGAGCAGTTGCTCAAGCTCGCGCTTGACGAGGGCAGGCTTGCCGTCGCGCTTACCGCCCTTCTTGCGCTCAACGTCGGCCTCGATGCGGGCCATCTTCTCGTCGAGCTCCTGCAGCTGCTTCTTGAGGCGGACCTCCTCCCAGTCGTCCGTCTTGGCCGTGGAGAAGTCGGTTCCGCTGGACTTGAAGCCGCTGCGGCCCAGGCGAGTGAGGTACTGGTCGCCAAACTTGGCCTTGCGGCCCGTCGCCGTTGAGTCGTCGGCCTTTGTCGCCCATCGGGAGGCGCCCGGGGTCTGATTGTCTAGTTGGTAGTCGATCTGGTTGCGCTCGAAGGAGGCGCGGAGGGAGGCGGGGACGGTGCGCGGGATGCGGAAGCCTTCGTGGCGGTTGTTGAGAATGTGGAGGAAGGCGAGGCAGGCATCCTTGTTGATGGACGGGCCGGCTGAGGGGTTGATGAGGTTCCAGGCGGAGCGGATGTCGGTGTCGGGGACGTCGAGGGATTCGTAGAGGTCCTCCAGAGCAGTGACTGTGAACGAATCGCCCCGTTAGTAAAAGCGGCACGGCCGATGTGGGCGCGCGCAAGTGAACCTACATGCTACTTGTCCCCGTGCATCCCGGTTCTCTTGGTATATCGACTCATACTTGGACTTGTCCGCTGGGCTCATGTACCAGTCGAATCCGTCCTTCAGCCCTGGCGAGTCTGGGTCGTCGTCGACTTGCTCGAACGCCACTTGCCTTCCTGTGAGCGCGCGATTCGCCTGGACAAGATGTGCCTTGGACTCGGGGACGAGCCAATCGGGGAGTGTCGTTGGGACATCTGAGTATTCCTGCCCATCCGAATGCGATTAGTACCTCTGCGCTACTCTCTTCCTATAAGCATCCAATTCAAGGTATACTCACGCCATTCAGAATATCGAAAATGACTCTCATAGCAACGCAAAACTCCTCGAAGTCGAGGTTGCCATCATTGTCGACGTCGGCGAGATCCCACACCCTCTCGAGCTGGTTGTCCGTCAGGCCGCTGTTCTTCAGCACCGGCGCGGCCTGTTCTCCCGTCAGGAACTGGCCCCCGCCCGTCCGGGTGGAGAAGATATTCCAGTACGTCTCAATTTCTTGTGCTTCGATGCGAGGAGGCGCCATGGTGTGCGGTATGTGTAGGTTTGTTCGCGTATAACGGGGAAGAGCGTCGGTGGACGGAGGTTGACGAAGGGTGGCCGCGCTTGGGGTAAGTCGAGCTTGCTCGGGCCTTCGTTTGTGTGGCGGGTAATGCGGTGCGCAGATAGCTGATGAGCCTCTGGAGGCTGCTTGATGAAGCAATTCGACGCAGGTTTGGGGTATCTCGTGAACGGGAGATGGTGAGGGTTTGGCCGGAGAAGTGTCGTTGTTGCTGTGTGGATCGTCGTTAGGCCGCGGGAGCTCGGCCAAGGATGTGGATTTGGGGTAATCGGCGGGTTGGAAGTGGGAGGCAGTGCTTCTGTAACTTGGCTGAGCGTGCGCTCGGTGAGGGAAGCTCGGTGATGCATGGTCGACCCACACCTCGCCGTCACTAACCCCTGTTCACTTAGCTCATCATCGACTTACATAATAGTGGCATTCCCCAGAGGCCTGCTCAACAACATCTCACCTTCTCCCACGAGGCAGGTATTATATCACGAAACAAAGGGGCCATCATTCTGAGCAACCTGATGTTTTCCTAATTCACAATATATCGCACTATGGCGATGGGTATCTCAACATAATCAAAGGGTCTTTGCCCCAAGAAAACCTCCCGAATTCCAAATGGGTATCATCCTCCGAACCAACGTCACATGCAAGCCATCCATAAAGATGCGAGCAAAAGAAAAAGTTATCCGAAAACCTGAATCCTCCCCAATGTAAAGACTCAAAGAAATCAATTCCTCCAAGCAGGGCTGTGGTACGCAGCGAAGACCAAAATCTGTCTCGTTGCAAAAGAGAAAGCAAGAAGATAGCCAGATGACGAAACAAGAAATTTCTTGCAAACCAGGAGACGCGATGGTCGTGTGCTTGGCTTCTGTGTTCGCCTTTTCTGCTGTAATGGTATTGTTTGGTGGATTTTTGTGTTTTTTGCGCTGCCTCCAAGTAGGCAAAGTTTGTTGCGTAATGCAATGCAATGGTTCTTGGTTGCCAAGCTAGGCTTGGAACATTCCTCTTCATGATGCTTCTCCATGCCACTGGGCAGCTGCGTAATTCTGCTCGCAAGCCGATCTGTTATATCAGTCGTCTGCTCGCTCGCTGTCCTTGCGCAGTTGAGCGGCGGCGGTGGCCTTCTCAGCCTCAATCTCTCTGCGAATGCTAGCTGTAACGCCCGGGAACGGGATTCTCGCAGCATTCGCCTGGTAGTGGATCGAGTAGATGCTGTTCGGCCACGATGCCATGTTCATAGCTAGTCGCTCTCGGGCAAGCTGCATAGCTATGTGAGAAGGCCACCCCTTCTCGACCATCGTCATAACGTAGTCCGCGCCATCGGGCACCTTCTCCCAGAACTCCTCGTACGTATCATACTGAGGAGGGAACAATCTGCCGTGTTTGTCTTGGCGAGGGGCTCCCGGGGCCATTCGGTCGACTTGGCTCGGGTTGTTGGCTGTAGCAGGAGTATCCGACGATTGCTGGAAAGATGCGCGGTTCGGAGCGGGCGCAACGGCTGGCACGGAGGCCTCTCTTCCGGTCAGGTGTTGGATTTCGGGCGGAGGAATAGGCGGCAAATGGCGAGCATTGGCTCCAGGAAACGATGGTTGACGCAAGTCAGCGGTAGACGACTGCATTTCAGAAGTGGAAGACGTAGGCATAGGCTCGTAGCTTCCTGGCTGGCGACGATAAGTAGTGAAGTCAGTCTCCTGAGCAAAGTATGAGTTCGAAGGAGGATATGCTTCAAGACGCGACGATGGACGCTGCCCAGCAGTAGACGGCTGTATGCCTGGAGTAGATGACACGAGAAGAGCCTCTTGGCTTCCCAGATGACGGCCATAAGAAGTGAAGTCGGTCTCCTGAGCATTGTTTCCGTTCGAAGTATAGGGACTAGGAACCGACGAATGACGCAGCTGAGTAGCCGGCGACTGCATACCAAAGGTGATAGACGCGGGCATGCGATCGTAGCTTGTCATTTGGCGAGTGTCAGCTCTGGAATGGGGCTCCCGAGGAACGGACGAGTTCGAAGACTCATAGGCGCCAGGAAGTGACGATTGACGCAGCTTAGCAGCAGATGGCTGCATGCCGAAAGAGGAGGAATTGGGCATGGGATCGTAACTTGTCGTTTGAAGACCATCAGCTTTGAAGTTGGGCATCTGATGAGTGTACGAGTTCGAAGATTCATTGCTGTATCTTGAGACTGGCGTCATTATTTCCTCGAACTGGGCAGTTCTCTGCGAATGAGGCTGATCGACGCTAGCTTGACGACTGCTCTCGGATGATTGGTTCGTCTTCTGCTTGGTTCGAGTTTTGTGAGCCACGACAATTGTAGGCGCCTGAGGGGCCCTTGGCTCGGGGCCAGGAACTGGGTTACTACCTGCCGGAGGTGAAGCAGCGTTCGGAACGGGAGAACTGTTCGCGGGGGTCTGCATAGCCGTTGCTTGATTCGTGAACTGATTCACAGCAGCATGTGCGGCGGCAATGTCCTCGGGTCTAGGATACTTGCGGGGACGTCCTCGGCCACGCTTGACGGGCTGGAGTATACCGTTGGGGCCCATCTGCTGCGGCTGGGGTAGAGGCTGCAGAACGGCCGTGGCCTTCTTCGATCTGCGAGCTTTCTTGGGCTTGTCGGGAACGTATTCTCCGTCGCTGTCATCTGCCGGACGCTTGCGGGATGGCTTGGTAGAGCTCTTCGTGGATGGAGGCTCGGGACTATCCTCGCGCCCAGCCGGAGTTCGGGACATATTGGTCTGTCTCGCGGGAGGGGCAACCGTGGGTCTTGCAGGAGTAGCAACCATAGGTCTCGCAGGAGGACTAGAAGCAGATCCCGCAGTATCACCAGTCAAGTCAACGACATTGCGCTGCGAGCCTCCAGCGACGGGCATAGGGTTGTTGTAGAACGTGATTTCTTCCTGAGCCACTGGGACCACGGCATCCTTCAGGGCGAAACGAGGCTCCTGTGCTGCAGGGACCGCAGAGACATTAGAGACTCCAAAGGTTCTCGAGACTTGAGAAGCCTTAGGGGATGCAGAGCTCTTGGGGATCTGGGGAACTGCAGAAACTCTGGGGACTTGGAAGAGCTCAGGGACTCGAGAGACCGTGGGAACTTGAGAGGCGGCAGGAGCTTTGAAGACGGCATGTGCTTTGGATACCGCAGACACTCCAGGGACTCTAGGGGTTCCACATTTGTTGGTGCTCGGCATCGGATCCGACTGCTCGTTGTCGAAGTTGGCGTTCGAGCTCGCGCCAGGCATGGCCGCGTCAGGCATGTCCTCATCATGGCTGGCCTTCTGAGCAACACTCTGGCGGATGATCGCCTCGAAAGTAGGCATCTCCGGTCGCGCAACTGGAAGTGCCATCTCGTCAGGGTACCATTGGGGCTTGGTGTTGCGGATAATCTCCTTGAACGCAGACGACTGAAAATATTCGTATGCAGGCGAATCCGAAGGAGATGTATTGGGATCCACCTCATCCATGTAAGAAGAGACAGGCTGGAGTACCGCTGAGCTCGCCATCTGCTGAGCCTGTTGGTCATCTTGAACTTGTAACTCGGGGAGAGACAAGTTCGTAAGGACGCGAGTATGATCCACCACTGGCTCTGGCTCCGGAATGCTGGGGCAGGGCATAAGCTCCTGGGCCTCGGGCAAGAGTCCATCGAAGGGGAACGAGGGAACACCAGGCTGATTGTTGACTTGAGCCTCGTGGAATGCCTCGTCTAGAACTTCATCGTCGGGGAGTTGGTCCTCATCGGATTGGTCATGCTCCTGCACTGCAGTGACTTCAGGATTGCCATCGGCAGCAGACTGAAAGTCCTCATACGAGATAGCGGGACGGTTGCGATACTTGTGGACTTCGGTTGGAGTGTAAAGCTCACCCATGTCCAGGTTCTCAAAGATCCACGCATACTGCTGATCGTTAGTCTTGTTCTCGTCTCAACTTCAAAGACGAAAGCCACCCGAAGTGAACCACTAAGGAGGTAAAGAGATGAAAGAATGAGAAGGAGCTTACCTGGTTGTTCTCGCCAAACATCGGGTTGTTCCGAGCGTACACTTGGCCAGTACTCTGAGGCTCTCTGAACGGCTCTGAAGTAGGAGTGTCGTGCTGCTCGGTCGGGTTGGCCGCGGAAGATGTGCTCGCCGGCTTGCCCTTCGTATGATCCAAGTGATTGAGGTAAGCTTGGATTTGAATCATCCTGTTCACCAACTCATGATGCTTTGGGTCGAACTGGTCATGCCAGGGTTGCGGTCCGTCATGGGTCTGAGTGTCGACGTCATGCAAAGCGGAATCCTTGGTACCCTTCTCGAGAATGGCGATACAGGCGGCCAAGATCTCGCGCTCGATGGGAATCTCAAGAAACCCCTCAGAGATCCCACGACATCTCTCAAGTCCTCGGATGTGCTCGCCCTGTCCGATTTGGCGCAAATACTGATATGCCTTCTCGTACTCGTCATGCTTGATGGTTTGAGTGGGAAGGAATGGCTGGTTAAGGACTTTCAAGCCGTCTCTCGGAGGCGCTCGCTCATGAATCTGGTCGAGGAGTTCAGAAGGGTCCATCCCGTCACACGTCTTTGCCCACGCCTGGATCTCCCGGTGGTGCTGTATGTAAGACACAACAAAGGTGATGACTTCTGGAGTCGTGAGGCCCAAGGCTCGAGCTGCCAAGGCAAAGGACTGGGAGCCACAAATGACCTCAAACAAGATCCATTGGGCGCCATGGCTCAGGTGAGACCAAGCAATGGACTCACCCTCGCCAGGACTACCCCAGTCCATGCTGTCCTCGTCTTGGACCTCCCGCTCCTCGGCCGCTGGCCGCTTGTTGTCGTCCTCCTCCTCTGCGGCGTGTCAGCGGGATATATGATGGGCAGGGGAGGATAGTACTTACCGTCGTCACTGAAGTGCCTGGGGGAGGGGTTCTGCTCCCGCAGCCAGGCGTCCAGCTCGCCCCGGTCTCTCGCCTCTACATACTCATCCCCCGGACCCCTCTGGTCCAGGGGGATGGTTGGGAAGGACGCCCAACGGGCCGCGCCGGGGTCAAAGACCGGATCCGGGTGAACCCAGGCCGGCCTTTGAACCCCGAGCGCATATGGCTCCTGGTACCTTCCCCTCTGAACTTCTTGAGTTGAGCGCCGCAGCGCACGCCTCCGGCCGCCCGCTTCCTCCATCTTTAGATGGGTATTGTGATGCGATATTCCGCTGGGGGCGGATTGGGATGGCGGAGGGTGAGTGTGATGATTGTGCAATGGTGGTGGATGAGACAAAGTGAGAGGTACGTAAAAAAAGTGAGAGGTGGGCTGAGGAAAGACGGATTGTCAACAGTCAAGTGAGATTGTTTTGACCGGAAATCTCGCGTCGATGTGTGGGATGTATAAGGAAAGAGCAGGAGGGCCCCGAAGGAGAAATAATGAGGCAGTTGCTCCTTCCTCGCCGTTATGGAAGGGTTGGGTGTAAGGTGTAAGGTGTAAGGTGAGATGAGATGAGATGAGTCCTGCTACCTGAGGTTCACAAAAGACCTGTCTCTTCCCATGGGATAGCCTTCTGTAGGCTTATTTACCGACTCAGGGGCTCATCGTATTTCCTGAAGATATGACACGATTATCCTGAGGGTGAACTCAGAGAATTCGTCCTCTCCATATCATGATCCGCCTCCTTTCGATGGGTATTATGCTAAGGAGATATGAAGAACGGGGAAACAAGAACAACCCATGACCTAGCCTAGCAGAAGGGTGGAGAGCTCATCTATATCTGTGAAGAATTCATAAGATCGATTTGACCAACATGATCATCTGTCATATACAAATAGTTCTGACCGTGGCCTTTGTGTGTGGCCTTTTTACACTGGGCATGTTTACACAACAAATCATCTTAAGGAAATGGGCACAATAGAGACTGTGTAAATAGTGGGTTCTGATAGTGGTGAAAGCAGGTCTAAACTGCCCTAGAAGAGAGTCGTTGCCGACTGAAACGGGTATACTGACTGACACCCTTGACGCCTATCCATGTTCCTAAAGCAAAGTTCTAATTCCCCTCGATGAGTCTGCTCATAATGACAACTGAAAGCGGTCTTCCTGCTGACGCCAAAACCACTGATGCAATGCCTCCCTACGCTACAATCGACAGAAGTTCCTCTTCTTCGACTCGACTAACCTCGTCACTACGCGATTGTATCGCGATCCCGAAACGGAACAAACTTGCCCCTGTCCTGGTACCGCTCGCGATCCGCGGCGAACGTCTCATATCCTCCGCCCTGCCTGTCATCTTCGTCAAGGGTCGTTTCGATACCGCGCTTGCCGCCCCCACCGCTGTATCCGTGCGATTGGCCGGCTCGGGGAACATCTCTGGTCGCACTAGACACATTTCTCTGGGCATTGAGAATATCTTCGTATGCTTGTAGCATCCTCTTTCCATCCTCGTCGAAGTTGGCGGAGAATCGTTGCATGGAGATAAATTGCACGGAGGAGATCATGTCCTTCCCGTACATGGTCATGATGTAAGCTGCAGCGACGAAAGCTGATCGGTCATTGCCAGTTTCGCAAACAAGGAGAATCTTGCCACTCCTGAAGCTTTCGTCATCGACTGCCATCCGACCTGCCTGTGCAGCCACAGCTTGACTGCGATACACGTCGATCAAATGCCCGTTGATCTTTCTCACCACCTCCGGGAAGCCTCGAATCAACTCAGAGTTATCCAAGACGTCCAAATATTCGACCTGGATGCCGAGCTTTTGGGCTACCCTGTCGACACTCATCAGTCGAGCTTGAGCCACCCTGGCATGTCGTGTAACAATGACCATGGTGATGCCCTCCTTGGCAAGCCAAGCTTCGTCGCGAGCAACGGATAACGGGCCGAGGTAGAGGAAGTCCAGGAGCGTCTGTGCCTTACGTCGAGCTTCGTAGTTCCAGCCAACTGATCTATCTGTGGCAGTCTGCGTCTTGTTCCGAGTTATGATTCTGAGATCATCGCTTGTGAGGCGCATGGCATCGACATTGTTGAATGACGGGGTAAAGGTGCAAGTAGCGTTGCCCTTAGCAAATGTCATGGGAATGGGTATGTAAGGAGGACTGGGGGGCCTGTGGCTATACGGAGCTGTGGCGATGGCATGCTCTTTCGGCTCCTGGGGTTCCTCCATGTTTGCTGATGCTCAATGCGGGGTTAAATGACAAGCAGTTGGCGATGCGATGTGTTTCGCTGCGGGAGTGCAAGACGCACTGACTCGAAGCAAGCAGTGCAAGATGCCTTTGTTTGCTGTGTTTCGTCGTTGCCGATACTGTGTAGGCACAAACGCAAAGGCAGGTTGCTGAAAACTTGGTCAAGCTATGCAAAGAAAGGCAAAGCAACGTGCCAGGATCTAGTATGAGTGAAATGGAAAAATGATAAGACGTTGGCTGGAGCAGTGGTGGTTTGGATGATGTTGATGTAAAGTTGAGAGGTGGAGTAGGAAAGTACAGAATCTGGGTTGCAGGCTTGCAGGAGGTGTCGAATCGGCAGACTGGGCCGGAGCGAGCTTAGACCCCCTGTGCGGCGGGCGTCCACCTGTCTGTACTGCCCGCCCCACTCTGAAGCCTAGACCCATCGGAGAAGTGCTGGAAGCAACATAACCATGTGCCAATCCCAATTCCAACGTCGCTTCCCCAGAGCAGAGCCTTTGTGGAACGGTTACGTGCCTTGCCGCAGCATGCAGGTCAGTGACATCGCCCCAGTACCTTTCCTACCTTCCGAGTTTCGTGAGCCTAGGACTACCTGAAGCGCAGAAACGGCAGGTACCTTAACTTGTGCCACTCGTAGACTTGAGCTACGATTCATTACCCTATCAGGCAGGCCTGCTTGCCTCGGCTCCCAAAACGACAACTGAGGCATCTTAGGACCGGTCACCTTTTGCTGTTCTAATTCAACACCGTAGGGAAACCAGAGTTCAGGCGACTAATGCAAGTAAACATCTACTCTGGAGAGCTTATTTGAGTCTCTTCCCGAGGGAACCCCAAGAAATAGCAACTTGCCTCTTGGCACTGAGTCAAGACAAGAGGAGCTCGACGCGTGTCTTTCTTCTGTCACAATGTAAGTGTGGGCAACCAGGACCACTTACCGACTGCTGGCTCCCTTTTTTTTTTAGCGACCGAATGCAAGATGTAGTCATATTATAAACCAAGACGTGCAACGTGAAAACCATAGGCGATGCTTTTCATCTTCTCAAGACAGTTTAAATGGCAAAATTAGTCCAATGGCAAAACGAATAAAAACCGTGATTCATGAGAAATAAATTCATTTGAGCCTGTTAGTTTCTGGCTGTTGACACATTAAAACATTTGCATTTCTCCACTCGCCTGTGGGTGCCTCCTTCAGGTGAACACCATTGCGCCATTGATAACGAGGCCGTCCTTTTGGTAGCGCAGAATAACTACACGTGCTCATTGATAAGCTGACCGAAAGTCCGAACCGCAGAGGAGAGAGCGAATGGGCGATTTGATCACATAAGCCACTTCAAGCGCGAGCATGATGAGACGTCATTTCATTGCGTGAAAGCATCATCTATTCGAAATACGTAGGGCATCGTGACTAATATCGTGCGTTTGCGTCATGCATCCAGCCGATTACAACTCCTCGGAAACCTGACCCTGCTTCTCCAGAGCGGCGAAGTCGGTGAAGCCGAGCTCGTACACGAGGCCAAGGGTCATCTTGGCGTGCTCAAGCATGTGATCAAACGACAAGTACTTGATGTTGTCATCGGTGCTGTGGATGTGCTTGTCAGAGTCCTCAAAGGCGGACTCGATCACGAAGGCGGAGGGGTAGCCAGCCTTGCTTGCAGATGCATGGTCGGAGCAGGCGTATCCACACTTCGTCTCGACGTAGGGAACCTTGCAGTACTATGGTTTTGTTAGCACCTTCGCGCATATGGGGGCTCATTTTGACTTACCTCGACGATGACCTTCTTGATGAAACCAGTCAAGCCGGGATCAACAAAGTCGGTAATAACGCCAACGCTCTCGGGCTTTCCAGCATCAAGCGTACCCTGAACAAATCCAGTCATGTCCTGCTGGAGCATGGCCTTGATGTCACGTCCGTCTTGCTCGTAGGACGAGAAGATGGCCTGGGAACCAAGAAGACCGCCCTCCTCGGCGCTATACCAGTGGAACTCGATGGTGTTGTCGGCCTTTCCGGAGATGACATCCTTGGACTTAAGGAGAGTGCGGAAAGCCTCGAGGATGGTCATGGAGCCACTGCCATCGTCATCGGCACCGGGCGCAGCGAGAATGGAAGGCAGCCACAGGTTGATGGAATCCTGGTGCGCGCCGATGACGACGGTGCTGTTAGACTTGCCCGGGATGGTAACAATGATGGAACTCTGTTGCCAGGTATGGGGGAAGGCCTCGGCGTAAACGTGCTTGCCGGCGCCGGCGTCCTCGATGATGGTGTTCAGCTTAGCCAGAAGCCATTCGGAGGACTGGCGGCCGTAGTCTGACTTGAAGTAACGGGTGTGGAAGCTCGTGAACTTCTCCAGGTTGGTCTGGATCTCCTTCTTGTCGAGATCCTTGATGAGAGGCTTGACCTTGTCCTGAAGGCGACACTTCTCGGGAAAGACGCTCTTGGTCTTGGTGTGGAGGCGGTTTGCGCCGAACTCCTTGTGGTCGGTAATATCGAAGAAGCGGTTTCCGTTCTGCAGGGAGTCATGTCAGAATGCGAAAGAAAAGCAGTGGAGATGAAGGAAACCATACCCTGCGAAGCTCCCACTTCTCCTCCTCAGTGACCCAGCGAGTGTTGCCTGGGGCAAGTTCGATCAGGTACTTCTCGGGCTCGGAGCCAGCGGGATACAGCTGGACACGGTTGATCTCCTCCTCGGCAACAAAACGAGCAGTGACCGAGTGGGCCAGCACAGCGAGAAGTGAAGCTTTGGCGACCTTCATTGTGAATAGATAGTATGGGTTGGTGATGGTACAATCTGGGGATGATGGGGGAGGTATGTAAAGGTAGTCAGGTGGATGTTGTTAAAGGGAAAGATGGCTGGCGTCATGTCGGCTGGGGCTGATAGGTGCCTAGATAAGATAGCTAAGCGTCAGCGGGTCTGCGACAGCTCGGCAAGCTCCCCACCTCCCCTGTCTCGAATCCATTCCCACACATGCCCCGCGGGTTGCCTGGCCAAGCAGACGCCACCAATGCTTGCAAGCGGGCACAGCGGGTACCTTACCTCGAGTACGGAATACGTACCTCGGATGTCCGTAAGGCCGGTACGGGTGAGGTCTATACCTTGCCTTACGTAATCAACTTTCTGCTCTTCCCAAGCTTCTACTTGGTAAATCTGGATTTTGGACGGTCTCCTTCGTCTTCAAAAGTAAGTAGTGTCAACGTAACCAATGCTATCAGATAATCGATGAGTTCCTCAAAGGACTCTGTCTTGCTGCTTCACAACTTACCTTATTTACGGCAGAAAATATGTGCTACGAACTGTCACTGACCTGCTGTGCAAGGTGGGCCCAGCTATTAGGGAATGACCCGAGTGGCAGCTCAACCCGAACGAGTAAGTTTCGGCTCACCGAGCCAGTCACGCCAGTCAACCAACGCAGACACTTTTTGATAATACTCTGCCGCCCTCAGATTCTCCAATCTCGCCCGCCAAAAAACAAATGGACTTACATGCAACACCAGGCATTCGCCGGTCGTCTCCGACCCGACTACTACTCTGGCCCTCGCTGGTTTATCTAGGAGAGAGCGGACGGGATCTCGAGTTCTCCAGTGGGTGTGGTCGCATGTGCTTGAAGACGAGTCTGAGGAAGCCAATGCTGCATCGCCCTGCCCGCATTTGTTGCCCCCGGACGCTGGAGCGCGTCGGAGCGGGTCTATGTGCCCCATAGTGTCTCGGACTCGGCGCCTGGTCCGTTGGAGAGTCGCGGGGGACTTCTACACACTTACTCTACTGATACAATGGCTCAATTCTTCACCCAAAAGATGCCAAGATTCTGTCGTAAGATCTCGAGACCCTTGATTCGAGGTTAATCGCAGCACCATACCACAAGGTGGGTTCATCAGCACGAAAGACACAAAGAGTATCACCCGTTTCCATGCCCCGCAGCCCGTCGTCCCGTCGTGGGGCGCTTCGGTGCGAATCGGACACCGGCACCGACTTACCTCTTTAAGCTCATCTGAACACCAAACATCTACCATGTGTGACAGCTAGGTACCTCACAACATGGAGTCCTATCCCGACTCCCGGCAACGTTAATGGCCGAACAGGCGCCCGGGCTTGGACCTGTTCCTTCCCATCCTCAGGCAGTCAATGATCTCATCGGGGGAGCAACCGCATGTTCCCCAAGCGCATCCCCGCCGCGTGTATAAAGCGCTGGTTGCAGCCGGCGCGCATCCCTAGCTAGGTGACCTGCATATGTCCCACCTGCATTCGTCCGACCTTGTGAGCCAAAAGCCAGATAGGTTCGCGATATATCTCAACAACATCCTTCGAGTCTCACCATCTCACACTCACCCCAAGTTACTACACCCATCAAAGCTCAATCGCGCACGAACGAGTGCTGCCCAGCAAAAGGATGGCGGCCTCCAAACCCGAGAAGCCAAACTTTGACCTCATCAAGCGCGGCGTCAAAAAGTCCAATGTGCCAGGAACACTCACCTTCCTCGGCCTCCGCGGCCTCGACCCCTTCTTCCAATACAAGCTCGTCGCCGGCGGCTGGGGCGCCGCCGCCCTCGCCAAAATCGGCATCAACACCATCCCCCTCAACGTAGCCGCCCTTTCCACGACCGGCGTCGCCATCCTCGACGGCCTCCACCTGCCCCTCCCGCACCTCATCCTCCTAGGCATGTCCGTCGGCTCCTTCGTCAAGCAAGCCTACTGGCTCGTCGGCATCTCCGCTGAGGAATTCCCGCCTGGCCCCGCCGCGACAGTGAGCTTCTACAACACCCTCGTCAACAGCGCAAACTCCCTGCTCCTCCTGGCGGCATCCACCTCGGTCCTCACCTCCCCGCGCGACTTCCCCGGAACCTCCCTGCCTTACCAAGTCGTTCTCGGCAGCGTCCTGTACGGCGTCGGCATGTTCCTCGAGACGGCGTCCGAGTGGCAGCGCAAGCAGTTCAAGGCCCGGCCGGAGAACAAGGGCAAGGTCATGCGCGGCGGGCTCTGGAAGCTGGCGCGCCACATCAACTATGGCGGGTACGCGCTCTGGAGGGCGGGCTACTGCATGGCTGCGTCCGGGTTCATCGGGGGTACGATTATGGGCGTGTGGCAGGCGGTGGATTTCCTTACGCGCGGCGTGCCGGCGTTGAATGAGTATTGCTCAAAGAGGTACGGCGAGCAGTGGGTCGATTTCAAGAGGGAAGTGCCCTGGGTCTTGCTTCCTGGTATTTACTAGTTGTGCTGAATGGTACAATATAATGTTATCGGTATATGCAATCGCTTTTGATCTTTGGGGAGCAAGCATGACTTAACGATGACAAGCAGCAGTACGGATCCGAGTTCAGGACAAGGAGGTACGTGATATTTGCTAAGCCGAAAAATCATTTCTCGAATGCGGATGATTTACATACAAAAGCCTCCCGGCCGAGATATGTGAGTTTCCCGTAAATGCAGACTTGCCGTAGCATCATGACCAGACCCAATGTCCATGCAAAAGATGAGAAAGGGGGGGGTATCAGTTGCCCGGTCAAGCGTCACCTCCTGCACCTGCCACCACCTAGATATCTGAGGTAGGTAGGTAGGATATAAGGAGGAATTGGCCGTCTTTCCCCAACGGCTACAGCCAAAACAGAGGGTCCAACAACGGCGTGAAATACCCTCCCCTTTTTCACTTAAATTGCCAAAAAAAAAAAAAAAAAAAAAGACGCTCGCTTCTACATGCTGTCCTCCATCTGCCGACTCCGGACCTTGGCCCAGTCGTCGCGCTCCTTCTTGCCGCCCTGCTGCTCCAACCCCATGCCGCGCTCAACCCACTCCTTGCTGCCCATGTGACTTAGACGCGACAGCGCGCGCGCAAACGCAAACGCCTCCTCGTCGCCCGAGAACAGGCCCGACATGCCCTTGATGGAATCGATATTGTGGTCCAGGTCTTCGAGTAGATGCGTCGCCGCCGCGGTATCGCCACCCTGTTGTGCGGCCTCATCCTTCTTCCCTTGCTTCTCCAGCGACTCTTCCAGCTCGGCGCGGGAGACGAAGAGCTCCGTCAGCGGCTTCTCCGTGGTCAGGACCAGCTTCGCGTGCGACTCGTACACGGCATCGATGAACGTAATGAAGCGTCTCGCCAGATCGCGCTGGCGATACGTCATGCCGGGACAGTCCGTAATCACAAAGGCGTCGTAGTTGCGCACCAGCTCGAGGTAATCCGCCGCCGACGTCGCTTTGCCAATGAGCTCGTCAAACGTGAACCACGCGCACCGGCCGCTCACGCGCGGCACGTGGATCTCGCGGCCCCAGACGTTCTGCACCTCTGGATGCGGCTCCGGGTTCTCTGGGTCGCCGAGGAAGCGGAACCACTTCTCGGCGTGGGAGGTCGCGTGCGCGTCGAGCGGGGTGTGGTATACGCCCGAGGGCGGTCGCGGAATCTTGCGGTAGTCTGTCGGGGAGTCGAGGTTGATGACGTGGAGCCTGCTCTTGAGCAGCTTGATGGCCGGTACGAAGGACTCTCGCTGTATGCCGTTCTTGTAGAGTTCGTCGGGGTGTCGGTTCGATGTCGTGACTAACACGACGCCATGCGACATGAGCGCTTCTAATAGTCTGTCCCTGGGGTGTCAATTTGCGGCATGTTCCCTTTCGCGCGTGTGCCCCGTTCTAGCTCACCTTCTCAAAATCATGGCGTCTGCCACATCCGTACACTGGAACTCGTCGAAACAGAGAACGTTGCCCTGCGCTGCGATCTGCGCCGCCACAAAGGGAACGGCATCGACGTCGTTGCCGTGCTGCATCTTCATCTTGTGTAGCCGCTTGTGGACATCTTGCATGAAGTTGTGAAAGTGAATGCGCGTCTTGGTCCTGACAGAGCTCGGCAATGTGTCGTAAAACAGGTCCATGAGCATCGTCTTGCCGCTACCGACGTCGCCAAAGAGGTACAGCCCGCGGGGCAGGTTGCTCGGGATCGCTCCTATCGTGGCCTCGGCAGCCTTTCCCCCGCCGAACCAGGACCCGAACATGGACTTGGCGGGCTTGATGGACTCGAGAGTCGGCTGCTTCACTTCGGGCGCATGGTAGTTGACCAGCTCGTCGTGGAGGTGCTGTAGGCTCTGGATGATACCTGTCCCTCGTCAGCATGTGATTCTCTCCACCCCATGTCGGGGCCACAGAAGCGCAAAACTTGCCCCTCTGATGCTCGTCGTTGCGCAGAATGCCGTTGTCGACTCGGCGGTCGTATTCTTGTATGGGACCATGGTCATCGTTTGCGGCTGCCTCTCTCATTAGCACCCCCTTGCGCCACCAAACCTTCGCGATTCTGGTTCCTTACCCCTGTTTCCCTCTGTCGCCGTCGCTACCGCCGATGCCGTCCTCTTCTGGCCCCCGTTTCTGGTATATTGCGCAAGAATATGCGAAGAGGGACGGAACCTTCCAGCGCTTGTGTTTTGTCTGCTGGCAAGGCAAGTTGTGCAGAGAGAGCGTCGGAGGACGGCCTGCTCTGTGAGGCCTCGGGTTGTGACGGCAGAGCCGTTGAGCGATGCGCCCACTCGGCGGAGGGGAAGTGAGGATGCAACTGCACGGCGCATGGTGGCTGGCAGGAAGGGACCAAGGTGAACAAAAGTCGGAGAAAAAAAGGGTCTAAGGGTATCGACAAGAAAAATGCATGTTGCAAGCATGCGCACGCTATGGGATGATTGTGTCGCTGTGCTTTTTCAGGACAAAACCAAGCTGCTTCGGAGATGTCTCGTGGGATGTGGCATGTGTGTGAAATCAACAAAAATAGACTGGTTCGGCCGGTAAAAGATACCGGAGAAAATGACGCTATTGCCTACCCGCCGCCGGCTCTCACAACTGGCGCCCGAATTGACCACTGGCGCTGAGAGGCGGTGGAGAACCCAAGAGGCCTGTAAATTTGACTGTGGGGAAGCCGAAAGATGCCGAACTCCGGACCATGCCGACTTCGGTCTGATCAACTGGATGGCGGGTGCTCACCGACGGTGAGATTTGTTAGGTGACGCTCAGGCCATGATCTGACTTCCAATTCTCTTCCAGTTCGTCTCTTTCCTCCCGAGCTTTCATCTGAGAAGTGGACGGGCACTGACCGAATCGACTTGAAAGCATTGTCCCAAGAGCTGGACGCTTTTCTTTATTTTTGATTGTCCTTCTTTCTCATTTTGTCTCTATTTTGGTCCATTGCTCATCGCCTCAAAGACAACGGAACAGGCGAAAATCGTGTTACTCTCGACAGCTAGTCGTTAGATTTTCTGAAGGACATTGATGAGCAAATAGGGAATTAATGATTCACTTAGCCGGCCTTTATTTCTTTATTCTGTCCATACGTTCCAGAAACATTTGAGAGGCCGACTTGATCGATTCACATCACAACATCTCAATCCTTGTACAAGAAAGGCTAGCTTACCTGAACCAAGTCTTGCTTGAGATACGCTCGATTACAAGATACGAATGAAGAATGGAGAAAATGATACACTATTCCGTATCATTTGTGGCACATCTCGCTTACGGTCAAGGGCATGGAGAGGCAGGCGATCTAGGTCGACTCCCACATACCCATCCTCTGTGCCAAAATCCGAGATGCCTGCCTGAAATGCATTCCAGCACCTTTCGACTTGACAATTAATGCTAGCTTGGTTTTTATGTGTATTTTATAGACCGATCGACTACCCTTTTGTGAATTTTGACGTGGCGTAATACGGACACTTCTGGGGACACTCGTCTTGAGGATTGGAGAGGGGCGGGTTCCAGGGATCCTCGATCCGTCTCATCTACCCGCCAGAGTATGCCGAAGCAGAGACTGGCAAGTGGTTTCGAGTTTCATTACGCCTAAAACATATGACCATCTTTTGACATGTATGGAAAGAGACTCTGAATACTTATCCGCACCACAATGGATAAGAAGACAGCGGTAGATACAACATCCGTGGCATGACCTAGCTTCGCCACCCCTTGGTTCCAGGTTGTTGAGCGTGGAAGCAAGAAATCCCCCTCCCAACTTTCAAGCACACATTCCAATTTTATACACAGAATGACCAGTATAAATCAAAGGTTCATAGTAGACCTTTAGTCCATCTATTCCTACTTTAGCCTGCGCAAGTCCAACTAGAGAAGCTACGCAGCTTATAGGAAACACTCACAATATTGCTCACATATCACTATTATCCCACTCCTCAATCTTGCTTGAAGTGAAGAATAGCTGAGCTCCTAGGACTGGTTATACCCAGGCTCCCCAAAAAAGGGGGTCCGCTGTGAGACTTCGACCCCTAAACACCAGCGGCACTCCCGCCTGCCTGCCAGCCGCTCTTTGCTGGATCGCAGCTGCACAGCTCTTGCAACCTCACGGCCCGTTTGAGTAACAGCTTCGCCATTCAATGCATCAGGCTCCACGAATACCGCCTCTACATGAACCTTGTACAAGCAAAGAAAAGGTGATAGGGGCACTCAAAAGCACTCTCGCCAATCTTGGTCGGTCAGGGGCGCAAGACGGGCAGGCCTCAGCACAACATCGCGAAGTTGTGCAACTTCGCTAGTGCAGTGGGAGAAAGTCTAGGAGGAGAGAGAGAGGGGAGGAGGGGGGGGGGGGGGGGGGGCACGGGGGGGGCCCATTGCTTCGGCACAAGCATATGGCTTAATTCTGATCCTTTCATTCTCATGATGAGCTGACAGGAACATCATCTCTCGTGCAAAGCTGCAGCTTGTGCCTGCCTAGCATGAAGGGCTGTGGCTTGGGCAGCGGTCTGCCCGCTTTCCCCCCCCTTTCCCAAGGTAAAGGTCTAGACGTCGTTGGGCTTGGTATTAACGTCTCCTAGACTCCGGTCAGGGTCTCAGAGGTACGTCTGGGTAGGGCAGTGATGTCTGAACGCCCGTAAGTGTAAAGGCGGGGGAGGACGCGGCCGTTGCCAGTTCTAGGTACTTAGATGGGGAGACTTTCTAGGCCTCGAAAAAGGCCTTGGTTATCGCATGCTATCTCCTCAGATCATAATGGCGTTTACTATCGAGATCTAGAATAGTACAGAAAGAGGGGAAGAGAAAGAGTCCAGACTCTCCTGGAAGTATGCTGACCGTAGCTCAATGCCTGATCCGATTCTTACGAATGCTTCAAGTCCACCATGAAATCCATGACCAACGTCTTGCGCCTTTCGTGGATGTGCAGGACGCTAATCACTTTCTTAGTCACGAGGCTCCTCCTCGAGAAGCGAGGGAGGATTCTGGGGTGCACAATTTCAAGGTTACCCCGGCGGCCAGACCATGCAGTTGAATGAAAGAGCTCGATTATCGTCAGCCCTTTGCAGGACCACACTGGCTGCTTTCCCTGATAAGGTACTACAGCGCACCTCTCTTAGGTCTGATATACCTACTCGGGTGCGCAAACAAGGTCTACAGTCTAGAGGCTTCGGAATAATAATTCAGCAGTGAGCGTGTTACCTTGGATAAGGTACGGGAGCTCATGGTCACGACCATCGGCAGTGATTTTGAGGGAGACTCCGCGGAGCCCAAGGTGGCAAACGTAAGATACCACCAATCAGCCCTCGAAACTCTCATTCATCACAATGGTTGGCCTGGACCATTGAAGGACCAATTTCGAGCCCTCCTGAAGTCAAGTGGCGAGGCGAAAGCAAGCCCCAGTGAAATTCATAGCACATTCTTCCGATGCTGTTCGGAGCTCGGGCTCTCCACCGTCCGCAGCGTCTTTCAAATGAGGCTGTCCTGTGGGTTTGTATTGGTAACGACCTGTTTCATGACTTGGTAAAATTGCCACAGCTCAAAGAAGGGCAATATCTCTAGTAGACCCAATTGCTGGCGGGTGTTTACTCCCAACCTCACGGTAAAACAAGTCATATTGCTTCCTGTGACCTTTTGGGGGCGTGTCGTCAGTCACCAGGGGATTAGCTGTTCATTTTTCTGGCATAGAAGCCCTGTCCTGGATAACGGGGAGTGAGCGCTCACTGAACCTGCTCGTCTTCAGGTAAGCACGGATGAGGTGTGGCCCCTTGCTTCTAGTATTTAACCAGTGCTTATTCTTGTCCTACCTTTATGTTCCTTCAGTAATATTGTTCTGTGAGACAGAGTTGTGCGCGTTCTTGTGGCATTGTCTTCCTTGTTTGTATGATTAGGAACAACGAGTTTCGACAGAGGTGTGGATATGTTCTAACAATACCACCGTTTATGCTCGGGGGTTGATAATTGAAAGGAGTCGCCGGACCTCGGGGACTTGTTGCGAGATCAAGTGCCAAAAAAAAATCAAAAAAAAAAAGCCTTCCGTCCCAGCCGTCAACGCGTCAGATACTGGATTAAAAGTCTCGTTTGGTAAGGCACGCATCGAAGTACGGAAAGGAATTACCACAGCACACGATGGTCAGCATTCCTGGGTTCGCGATTGTTCGGCGCCGATATCTCACAACAAGGCCCAGTAGGAAACGTGAGAACGATGAGGGTTCTTGGCTAAAGGGTACGTTCCTTCTCATTGTTAGCAGTTGGTTGAGGCCGCAGGAGCCCGAAGTTCGTGATGTGGGGAGATGCTTGTTACCCAGCCCAAAGATCACTTTCCTCATTGACAAGCCGGGAGATCTTGTTTGCCAAATTTGTCACCATAGTCAGTTAGCGCTCCGCAATGAGGCAGAGGCAAGAGGCCTATACGTGGAGCTCTGGGATAGTGTTCCCGCGATGTTGCCCTGCGGGCACGTAGCGGGCACAGTGTTTGGAGACCTGGCTCCGGATTACGAGAGCTGCCCCTTTTGTCGACAAGAGCTCGTCCATAGTAAGTGCGGGCATCAAGTACAACCCCGACATCTTTTCAGCCAGAACGTAGCCTTTACGCCGAACTCGATACCACATGGAGGTAGCATACCGGAATTATGTTACGCATACTACAAGGCTGCTCTCTGGGTTTCAGCTGACGTCCGGTACCGAGCTTGTAAGCGCCGGTTCGAACAAGCAAGAAGCAGGCACCTTGCGTCTGAAAGCCAGGCAGACGCTAATATCCTACTGCACATGAAAGTCGATTTTGAGAAGGTGATGGTAGAGGAGTTCTAGGAGAAATATTACAAGCTGGCTGACCCGTCGGTAGAGGCGACTCGAAGTCTTGAGGGAAGGGAAGAATGCGCCGATTAGAGAAGCGACAACTGGAAAGAGTTCTGGTGGGCTGCGGACCAACGGAGGAGCTCCGATAGCCGTCCACGGTCCAGTGGCTGTTGGGCGAAACATGCGGTGAAAAGGGTCTCGGATGGCGCGCTGCTGCCGAGCCGTATTCTCTCCAGATTTTCTTTTCTTAGATCACATGTCGTTGCATGCTAGGCATCCAGAACAGGTCGCAGCCGGTCTGGTTGTCGCTTACCCCAGGCCACGCTGTCAATGGCGAGCTTTGATACACGTATCTTCTAAAACCTGCTCGTGCTCGCTGTCGGCCAGAGATGATGAGTATGTATAAGTAAGGTAGGCGCCCATATGGAGTTATCGGTTCCGATGCTGACAGGTTGCGAAGTCTTTCGGGATCGATGGGGGGCCGGGGTGACGATCCGGAGGTGTGTTTCAACAGTCGTCTTCGTCAGGACCATGGATGTGGCATCCATCATAGCGATCACGCGTTGGCGACATAGGCGGAGAGGAATAAAGGCAGCAAAAGCAGGGCTACTGCATGAGCTTCGCAGCAACGGAACGCATCCGCGAGGCCGTCAGAGTGCCAAGACGTTGCGGGTGCACAGACACCACAGATCCAGGGCAGGTCTTATCCGACGTGTACCAGGGCCCGCTGACCGAGGGTCCAGTCCTCGGAGCGAGGTAACGGCGGGGCGGAGAGGGAGGAGGAGGGCGAGACCATGGGCGAGAGGCTAGGGCCTAAGTCTAGAGGTAGCCGTAGGAAACGAGGATTGGGGGCGGAAAATAAACCCGGCATCCTGAATTCTGTATCCGAATTTAGTCAATGTGAAAAAGGAATCTTCAGAATTCACTAGCCACAATTACGGAGTATGTTGTAATCTGTATGCCTGGCGCGCCACAGGTTACGGCCGTTGACGATTCGAAAGAGTGGAAATGACGTCTCTTTACGTAGCCGAGTATGTCCGTTTGTCGTCAAAACGATGATGAAGATGGAGAAAGACTGGGTAATGCATAGGTGTCCGTAGAGCCCTTGCTGCGTTGTTGGGTTCGGCTCAGACCCATTCGAGGGTGCGCGGGAGAAGAAAAGAATGAGAGAGGGTCGTGATGTGATGTGAGCGATGTGATGGGCTGGTGGAGTCTGGATGGCCGGAAGTTGGTACGATTCTGGAAATAAGAAGTGGGCCCGGACGTAGCTTCGGACACTTTACTCCTCGGTTGGACGATCCTTAGCGCCGACGTCGCCCCTCTCCTCCCCGGTTGAGGAACCTGGAAGCATCAGGAAGCAAGCCTCATGGTCCTCGCACCCGTGGCACTAAGCTTGCAAACGTGCAAGCAAAACCTAAGCAGGCGCATTTTGATGCCCCGGAGAGCCCCCATTATTTCTCAGAAATGTGACTCTGTGAGTGATCGCAAGGGCCCTGGAAGGTGGGCATGTAAGTAGGGCGTGGGGTGGGGTATCTGGCGACCTAGGTATCTTGTCGTCGAATACACGGTACAGAGTACCTAAGTACGGATAGATAATAAGGTAAGGTAGGGTAGTAGGCAAGCCCGTAGGTAAGTAGGGATAAACTGTATGAATACGGCTACTTCGTATAGATGCCTTACCTTGGGGCTTAGGTACCTTGTCTTCCGCCTTTACGGACTGCATGGGGGAGGGTATCTTTACCTGCCATTACCTTACCTAACCTAGTGCCTAGCCTCGACCTCAAGCCGCCTGCTGTTGTTGGTACATCACATCTCGACTTTCTCGAGGTCGGTTGCTGGACCCTAGTACCCAGCTGAAGCTGTGGCGTGAGCGCCTCTGTCTCACCGTGTGCTCTATCCGCTTTCGCGACTAACCCGAACTGGATCGCTCCATCTAGACCTGCAGAAGACACCACGTTGGACCGGATGGATGGGGCGAGACTAAGGTAAGCAAGCACCTCATGGCAAGTATTGCCTGCCGGCTTCAACTCCGCTGAGCAACTTCCAACGAATCACGTCTAACACAAGAAGAGGGCCCTGAGATACCGGAGGCCGCTTGTGGCAAGGCCTTGGCGCCTTTCTATCACCATCATCCTCTCAACATTGTCCGAGATGTCCAACACCCTTGGTGACGGGCCTCAAAGTTCAGACTATTACACTACTCTGTCAGTGACAGGTAGCATTTCTGCCCGCGCTAGATCCTGCCCGCCTTCGTTGGTCAAGCCAAAAACCCACCTCAGTTACGAAGGCGCTATTCTTGTCGTCATTTGCGGCCATCACCGTTGCATCGTGACACCAACCGACAAGCCTTGAATCCTCCAGTCGATCAGGCACAGCAAAGATCCATGATTACTGATGTCTGGGCGCAAAGAGGCATCTGTATCGCAACGCCATTCGTTGCCTCATTCCCACCTATCATCTCCTCGTCAATCGCCACCAATCTACCGACTACCTGCAATCCATAGAACAAGGACAGGCTCAATCAGCTTCTGGGTCCGCGTCTCTCGTGGTGTACGTATGCCTAACATTACAGGAAAATGAAACCTATGCAAACCATCTGCTAGTTGACTTTGCTCCCCGTCAAACAGTCGCCATCTCCTTGAGATCTCCAATACTTGGCACATTGCCCAATGACAGTCCCGATACGACACTCAGCTTTATCTTAGGCTCTTGAGTACCCACCCGAACGGATGTCTTGCAGCAGCAAGAAGATATCTTCGAACGGTTCCGTCAACGGAAGGCGAACCGTCACTTGAACCCAAGAACCGGGAAAACAGGGTGTTCAGGATATCACGGTAAACGATCTGTGGCTTGCTGCCAATGATACGCCAGTATTCTTCCCCATTCAAGCTTGTCCTCTCAAGCGGCTGTTGAACATCTCGCATCTGTCGTCCCCCGTTGAGAGTCAGACATCCCGCCCTGTCCTCTCAGATTTCGCCCCCGGACCCGGAACACATGGGGGCGAAGGACGCTCCAGCCCGACTAGGAAAAGCAAACATGACATCCAGGGCCATTGCTGCCCTCGGCTGCGGCAGCTACGATCATCCCAGACCTGTATCCGTACCGTTGCACTGGGACCAGCATCAACCAAAAGTTCCAACTCCTAACGCCGTGCTTCAAGTGACGATCCCAGTCTATCTTGGAGCTCTTTTCTTCGACGCACCGCGACAGCCGAAGAACAAGGCGCGCATGCTTTTACGGAGTCATCGTGCACGGCTCAGGGGCGATATCACTGGCCGAGAGCACGTAGGAATTGAGTCCATATTACCAAGACCCTCTGTTCTGATGACTTTCTAGCGTCTGAACCCCCAATTTTCCGTCGAGCCTGTCGGTCAGGGTCCACCGACAGACGCGTACTTTTGGGGTCATGGGTGGTTTTTCGCATGAGGAGCTCGCTTACTCCGGCTATGTCTCTCCCTCGCACGCCCCGGTAGTCTTGAGCCGCAAGAGCTCAGCTAACACCAGAGAGCAATTGTCCAAGCTTCTATGGCTAATCAAACCCACAGATGGGATGTGTTAATCTTAGGCAGCTCAGATTCTTCGTGGCCGGAACAATACTCAACCCTGGATTCGACATTTCCGTCGATTGGCTGCCCAGAGACAAGCAAGATCTCACGACAGTGAAGTATCGGAGTTCCCGTTTGGTCAGCTGCGTTGCTTCCTCATTATGCCTAGTGGCTTGGGGTCCGGTCTGGCCTCTTCCTGGACGATACCCCTACCACCTCAGCAGGAGACCTCGCAATCCTTGCTCTTCCCCTCTGTCGGACCAGTCTCGGCCAGGGCAAGCCATCCTCCACTCGTCTTTCAAATATTTTCAGGCTGTCTGTGATTTGCCGGCCCGTTGCGCTTTCTTTTACTGCAGCAACATGCCAGGCCTAGAAGCCCTCGGTGCGGCCTCGCCTGCTGATGCTCTTGTTCACATCCCCTCAAGTCTTCCCGATGAAACAAGCGTCAGCTAAGGCTCTAAAACCCCACAGTCTCTTGCATATGATAGATGCCCAACCTCCTAAGTCATCTAGTTGACCTTCAGTTGTATGCTCCTCGAAGAGAAATCTCAATTCTTGTTCCTCCATCCACGATCAACATCATTCCCTCAGAAGGCACAGTTCCCCATATTTCGAAAGTGCGTCGTCGTCGTCGTCGTCAACAACCCGCACAATAGCCAATGGAAGCGGTTAGTGACCTTTTGGTTCCAAAAGAGCTCGACGTGGAGCTTCACATGGGCAACATTCTTCCCCCGCGGATGGACAACTTACCAACCCTTTCAACGTAGGAAAAGGAGAGGAACCGCATCCGGGATAATCAGCGCCGTTCGAGGGCTCGAAAGAAAGAGTACGTTCAAGAAATTGAGCAACGTCTTCGGCAATGCCAACTTCAAGGTGTCGAGGCTTCTGCTGAAGTACAGCAGGCAGCACGCCGAGTTGCGGATGAGAACCACAAGCTTCGGCAACTCCTTCAACATGTGGGCTATGGCGACGAAGTCGTTGAACAGTACATTCAAACCGGCAAACTAGGCTCTCCAAGTCATCGCAGCCTGCATACTCCAAACACAAGCGGCAACTTGGTCCCCGACAAATCGACAGAAACGTTGGAGGGCCTTTTAGTTCCACGGCGGCCACCATGTCTCGATATTCAGATGCCAATTCTGCCAACGAGCAGACATACCAGCCCAGACCGAACTCTTTCATATGGTCCTACGCCAGACTCGCCGGTCGAGGAGTATGGTTCTCCATCGGAATCTGTCCATCAAATCCATGCCTCGGCGGTTGTTTCACCGACAGACTTTGGTTCTCAACAGGTCTACGCTCGCGCCGGCGACATGAAAAACCGAGATTACGCAGGTCATCATCACCGCCCACTAACGGTCGAGTGGGCAAATACCCACCAAAATCAGTCTACCCATGGTATTTCATCAAATATTCAGGGATTCGGGGCGAATCAGACGCTCGATTATCATCCGCCATTCCCGGGCATCAATCCTTCAGCAGGCATGCTACCCCCAACATGCGGCGGACCGCCCTCCGTGCCGTACACCGCGTACCAGACTTTTCACCCTCAGCAGCCGACGTTCATCGCAGCTGCTACTAGTCATATCGGACACGTCTCCGTCGTCGAAGCGGATCCTGCTATGGAAGATCGCAAACCGCAGTACAGAGGACACCCAGATGACCATTCTTGGCAATACAATACCCGACACAATTGATGCGGATTCGAGCGTTGTTCTTTGAGGAACTTGACGCAGTTTTAGAACCTTCTAAACAAGACTTTCTACCGCGTAGACGAAGCCAAGACCAATAATGGAGAGCGGATGTGCTGAAGTCAGCCAAGGAGTCTAAGCCCCGTTGGAAATCCGATGGAACAATCAGTCAAACAATTTGGCTGTAACCCTATTCTGGAGCTCTATTGTTGCATAGAGATCTCGAACAGCAGTGCCCTGACACTCATTCCTTGGCGTTGTACGTGGAATTTGCCGACATACACAATCAAGCACAGACGAGGCTGGTCAAAGGAAACCAATCTCATTGTTCCCTACCCATGTCAACGAGACTAATGGGAAGGACATGATGCACAAAGGCAACGAAGGTTCGTGGGAACATGGCCTTTGGCAAGTGCTGGAAACGTTGCGTTCTCTAGGGACTCAGACCAAGAGTCTTTACCTCTGCCGCGACGTTCTTTTTGTGAAGCATGCGCATGGAGCGACTGTATTGGGGGCATGCCGGCGACCCGTTGAGCCATCTTTTCGCCAGCCGGACAGGACCAAAGCTCCCATGAAAGAGCTCACCGGGCACAACATGGAGGAGTTGATAAGAACTATCTTTAATAAAACTAATGCCCACGGTTACCACTGATTGCATCTCTTGTTCTCCCTTTTTCTCACGTCAATTTTGTGTCTACTCGAAGAAACTTCACCTACACCCTGCCCCTTTTTGCATTCTCACCAAAAATAATAGATTCTACAAAACTTCGATGTCGAATTACAATGAAGAGAGGATGACCACGGTGGCGATACTGGCAATATCACAGCGAATCGAGTTTGAGAGATGTCTTGCGGAGATGAAAGCCCGCAAAGGGGGTCACAGCTCCAACACTTTGTACGTTCTGCGACGCCTGGTCGGCGATGCTGAAGACGCCCGCGGGATTCTGTCGAGTCTTCGGGGAGAGATTACCAGGGACGCATATGATGCCATACATCATATGCTAGAAAATCAGATCCTATTAATCAAAACGCAGATTCATGAGGCTGCGACAGAGGCGGGGAAATCGTTCCTGCAGACGCCAATGTCGAATTCACCGCCGCGGCAATCGAAGAACCAGAAGCAGCAGCAACAGCAGGATGCAGACACCCTTCAAAAACCTTCGTCTCCTTTACCAAGACCCCCCAGGCCCCAAAAAATAAAACTGCCATTACCGTGTCCGCCTTCCCGATCTAGACGGCTTTCTGATGCTACGCCGATGAATAGTGCGACGAGCCAGTCCAGACCCCCCGAAAAGCAAAGGTCTCCTGCCCGTGAGATCAAGGGGTTCCCTCCTCGAGCCACTAGAGGACGGCGTCAACCTAAGAAGTCCTCAACCTCCCGCCTTCAAGCGAAAGACCATGGCCCAACGGGGCCAACGGGGGAGAATAAAGAGGGCGGCGGCGGCCGTCGCCGTCATCAGGCCAGTGTAAGTTCTCCACCCCAGGGAAGATTCAAGCTGTGGCCCACCGCAAGCAACAAAAACTTGCGTCCAGCGTTTGAACCTCTTTTTTTGAGAGAAAGGCGAGAACCCCTGAGAACCCAGAAGCCGGGGGATGTGAGCGGTGCGATACACCTCCGCAAACAGCTTGACGAGCAAGAAGAAAGAATCGAGGCGGCTAACGTGGAAAAGCGTAGTAGTGATGTTGGTGGTGAGGCAGAGAGTGAGTACGAGGGCGAGGCGAAGGCGGAGGGGGAGGATGAAAGTCAGTCGGGGGGCGAAGGGGAAGAGGGAGAGAAACGCAGCAGGAAGAGGTCTGCGGAGCATGACTTGTCCCCGCCGACTCCTAAGAAATCTCGCTCTGAGCTTCGAGGCGGGCAGAATGGTGGTAGCCCAGGGCGTGTCAAGAGGTTCATAAACTCACTTAACCCCTTTCGAAGCAGACGAACTAAGACCCAGGAAAGCAGAGACGCCGAACCCACCGCTGCACCGAGCAAACCAGACTCACCGGAGCCGGCGGTAGAGTGCTACATCTTCGAGGACGCACTCAACCCGAGAGACTCGTTTGACGACGGAGAGGAGGATCAGATGGCCCTGCGCTACCGCGACACCATCGCAGAACTCATCCAACTAGTCGAAGATGCGCCGCACGCCATCACGTCCAAGGATCCCCTCGTACGAGACTTCCAGAGGAAGAAGCTCGAAGAAGTAAAGGCTGTCCTGGGCAAGATCCCGAACATTGCCATCGCGAGAAGGAGAATCGACAAAGAGCTCATGGAGATCCGGGATGAAAAGCAGGCGATTCTGACGGGGCGTACTAATCTCGATCGGGCGAGCAGGACGGCGTATGTGAAGAAGCTCAGACGGGATGAGGGGGCTTTGATGAATATCCGGCAGAGGTCAAATAGGCTCAACGAAAAGATTTTTGTGTTTGGTGCAGAGGGCGCGGCGATTATCACCGATTGGATCATGGAGACGAAGAAGCGCGTGGGTTTGGAGTTGGAGTTTGGGGCGAGGGCGCACATGGTGCCGGAGTTTCTCGGGGATCAGAAAGACGGTAAGGAGATCTTTAGCGTGTGAGAAATAGACCAGTTGCGGCTGTCAAGGTGCCGAGAAGAGGAGGGGTTTAGGGTAGGTATACTAGAGACACTGTTTGCTGCCTTAAGGAGTGTAGCCGGGACGGATATCACAGAGATAGATGGTTGGCCTGTTGTATGAATATCATGAGAGAATGCATTGCTCGCGCCGAGTCCTCTTAACTCCATTTGATTATCCATCAACCCTTATACATACACGATCAGGGGGGGAACGCGTAAGATTTGCCCAAAACCGCTGATCGTTCCGTTGTGTCTTTTTTCGCTATTTTCAGATTTAAATGTTTGTGCCGTTTTGAATCAAAACAATAAAAAACGCTTTTGGTATCGTCATTATACCGGGAATATCTCTCGCCTCCCACTGGGAAGTCCATGAACCGAAACTACCTACCTTTCTTTACAAAAAGTAGTCCGCCACCGGCTTCTTCGCAGGCATGCCCCTAGAATCCTGCGGCGCGGCCTGGAACACACGGTACCTCCTCGCAGGGCCGGGAAGCAGCACCTGGTCGTCGGTGCCCCGGATATTGCCGTCGCTGCGTCCCCTGTCACCGTTGCTACGCGCAAACACGCCCGTGCCCGAATCGTCCTCCGCCAGCTCGAGGATGGCCGCCACGTTGCCGCAGCGGTAGCAGTAGTTCGGCGCCGACCACACCGTCACGATGCTGGCGTCGAACATCTCCTTGAAGCCTTCCATGACCAGCTGATGGGCACGCGCAATGAGCGAGAGGTCGTTCTTGTGGTTGAAGTCGCGGACGATATCAGCGCCGAAGAGGAAGCCTGCACCGCGCGGCGAGAGACCCCAGCCGTCGATCTCGTCTGGATCGGACCAGAGGAGGTCGCACATGGCTCCCTCATGGGGAACTTCTTGCTTTCTATCCAACAGCCGGATCTTATCGACGCTATCTATCAGTGGGGATAGACCACCGTGAACGCAGAGGATTGCTCCGGCGGGGTTGCCCAGTGACCCTGAAGAGCTTCCTGATGCGCCACTACCTGGCGGGCCTGTCTTGTCGCCGCCGGACGAGGGCGCGCCGTTGGGGCTGTTTGTAGGTTGCCTCTGTGGCCGTCTCTGTCGGGGGAAGCGGCTCATTGTTGAGCCGTTTTGGTCGCAGACCTCAATCTCAACATCTTCAGTCATGCCTTCCGGTCCCGGGGTGGAGGGGAATGTGTGTGATGCGCCGAGGACGATGGCGCCGAGAGCGAGGTAGTCAAACACGTCGCAGCAGTACCGCCAGACGTTGGCGGAGCCGTATTTCCTCAGGCATTCATCGTAGAAACCGTATACGGTGGTGATTTGGCGGGATTCGTGGTTGCCCCTGATAAGGGTCATGCGGTCGGGGTAGCGGACTTTGAGGCAGAGAAGAAGGAGGAAGGACTCGAGGGAGTAGAAGCCGCGGTCGACGAAGTCACCTGTACGAAACAAGCAATCAGCATACATGAAGATGCGGCGGATCAGCAAAAGATCATGGCGGCATACCCATGAAGAGGTAGTTGGTATCGGGAACATCGCCGCCTACTCGGAACAGCTCCATGAGGTCGTGGAACTGGCCGTGAATATCGCCACATATCTGATCCCATGTCAGCGTCTGCTCACCTTCAAACTTTCGTAGGGAGGCCTTATCGTACCGTGACGGGGGCTGTGACCGTGACAACATTTCCTTCCTCAATGAGCAGCTCGCGCGCCTTGTGGCATAGCTCTCGGACTTGGGCTTCGGGTATCGGTCGGCAGGCGCGCAGTTGCGCAATAGCTCTATGCGATACGTCAGCGTCTCTTGGTCATATAGAACAGGTCGCGATCGCGGGCATGCTCACTTGTCGAGGTCGCTCATTGCGAAATTTGAGGAGGGGTTCCCTAATCTGGGTCGCGGCGCCCGAGGCCGAGGACTCGCAGTATCGAGATGGAGAGGATGGTGGTGGTATTCGTTCTGCTTTATAGCATGTCGCGTGGAGTATTCGATTCCGGGTCGGCGCGATCGACGGCGGTTACCTTACGTCGTCGTAAGAATGCGGATTGAGCACTTGCGTTGGGCGATCAAGGCTTCGAGGATGGGATGGCGTCAGTAAAGTTCAAAGACGTGCATGGTTGCCCTCTGGCGGTCGCCGGTCGCCTGCCAACCCCCAATTCGAACTTCCAATCGCGCCGGGATCTGCAAAGTGGATAGATGGTCAATGCGTCTTTGTGGGTTCTTTTTTGGAGTGCATCCCGGCCCGGGGATATGTTTAGGCTCCATCTTCGGGTCTTTGGTTATTGCGGTGACCGAAGACTGGATCCTCAGGCATGAGGCATGCAGTCGTTGGCCGGCATGTCACGTCGCTCAGGGTGGTCCCACTCCGGGCCGCCGGAATCCAATCAGAAGGCCTGCATATCAATTCGGGTCATTGGGTCATTAAGCTTCACTGCAGGTTTGCGAGAAAATCAGTCGTTAGCCATTGTCGTCACGCGTCTAAAGCCTTCGTCAAGGAACTGCATTCGGACCCGTCAACCCGTCGCGCGAGCATGGTGCTGTCATAGGTGAGTAGATTCGGTCAATTGGGCTTTTTTTGATGGTTTCTCACGTCGCTAACATCCAATGGCAGCAGAAAATCGAAGTCTCCTTTTTCCAAACACCCCAAAAAAAAAACCGCGATCATGCCACCACACCCCCTCCACCCGAGGTCGCGCATGACCTCTTCACTCTTTGCAACCACGGTTGTCGCAAGCTTCTTCGTAGTCGGCATGCCGCATCTGCTGCCATGTCCAGCACCGAGAGTCACATACGCCGACGGAGAGATTGTGGTGGGCGAGGACGGCCGCCGAAGGAGGCGCCGCCGTCGCGAGGCAGCCCCCGAAATCAATGACGGCGTCGTCAGCTTCAATCAGATGAGCGACGAGGAAACGATACGAGCAAGAGAAGAGCGATTGAGGAGGGAGTGCCCAGTACCGAAACCTGGCGGCATCTTGGGCGAGTGGTTAGGATTCCACGGGCCGAGCAAAGCGGAAGATAGCAGAGCGGGAAGGTGACGACGGCAGATGAACATATGTACAACTCAAAGATACCATTTACGATCAACAGTGCGGTCCCGACGGCGTAGAATGTGCGATTTCGATAGACGAAGTACCACGCAGGAGATGGTCAAGGTGATAAGCGTGCAATCACTCAGCAAGCAATTGTTCGGCCGAATCTAGAGGAGATGAGTTGAGGACACCCGCCTACGCCAGTAAAAAAAAAGGAGTTCACCCCTCGGTGCTGAGTTGGGGCTACATCTCTTGATGGTCATGCTGGGATTCGAACTCGGGTACTCGCTAAGCCTGTCGTCGAGTAGGCAGGCTGGTTGGTGTGAATAATTGATTACTGACCATTAACCATTCCGCCGCCTACGCCACAGTTTGACCTGACCCCCGACCTAGAGGGCGCCTGCTGTGCTGGTGACAGGAATGGGATTGAGGAGACCTATATGGGCTTGCTTCTGTGGTGTATTCAGTAGAGCTGGGATGAATAGACATGCACGGGATGATTCACTGGACCTATCTGAGCTGATACGAGAACCAACACCGTGGGCCGCCTCGGGGAGCAGATATTCCTATTGGGAAGGAATGGCACTGAACAGTCCGAATCCTCTCCTGCGCGTTTCGAAGTGCTCGCTCTAGCTCAAGTGAGCAACCCAACATGAGCTTTCCCACCGACACCTCAGTTGTTGCCTCAAGTGGCATGTTTGACGATATATCAAGCTTTCAGTCGACCGTCCTCGGATGCAGGTCGCAACGCTGCAACATCGGCTGCCACATCTTTCGCAGCATTAATTGGCGACAGGAACGGCGGCTACGCTTCCTTGAGCGACGTGGAGACAAATAGAAGGCTTCAGATGCAGATGTGCTTCGAACCCTGTCCTGCCATTCCATGAGCCAAATGACGATTCTTCAACTTCAAATCACGAACTCGATGCGCGACACATCATGTACGATACTCCATGGCCCAGGTGGCTTGTGAGTCTTACGACCACGCATGTAATGATATATCTTTGATACCAATACTTGGGGTCTGTTGGTCGGGGCTTGCCAAGTCTAAATAAGCAGTCATCCTAAAAAACAAGGTTATTTTGGAATAACTGCGCCTGAAACCTAGGTGCAGTTTGCCCTTGCAGAGTTGCGTCCTCTTGATCCCTGTGAGCTTCGAGCAAGAACACGGCTGGAGACGGGACATGCGGGTCGCGTTGATGAGAACAAATGAGTTTTTTGTTTGATATTTTCAATCTTCAAAATCCGAAAGCGGCTGGCTGGGGTGCTTGGAACTTGCAATTCTTCCAAATTGCAAAATTCCTCCGAGTCATCCTCGCTGAAGATTGTCAAGATCGCCGTTCATCTCTCACGTTCCGTTTCTCAGTAGAGTTCTCACACCCCTGAATGTTGGTGTTAAGAAGTGCCGTGAGCTTATTACGTATGATCTTCCGGAAAATATATACACAGAATTCGCCTCGCCTCAACAGTGAAGCAATGCCTGTCTACGTTGCCAGGGCATAAAGCGAAATTTTCCCACGGCTTTCTCGTGTTCCGTTCACGACCGGGCGATCGTGGGGGGATGAGACGTCGGAAGAGACTCAGGCAAGTGATCCGTGCTGCTAGGCAACGCCCCTGCTTCCGGCCCGCAACCTTAACACCCGCTAACAATATCTGACGCAGGAAGCCCCTGATGGACGGCTTGGCGTAGAGAGACGCTGGCCAACTTTTTAGTCATTCTTGTTCCCGCAAACCACACGAACCATGAACACAACGCAAGCCTCACAGCCCTAGGTAAGAATGACAAGGTTGTCTTCTTTAGCTTGTCTGCGGGGCGGAGGTGTACCACATGGGCGGCTTGCGGTCTGATCTCCAAGGCGCCAAGAACGGCTCAGATCAGTCGAAACAGCCGGAGGACGAATCACCAAGAACGCCTGGAGCCTTGGAGGCTTTCAGCATCGTGGTTTAGAGTTAGGGAACTTGGGGTGACGGGTGCCATCTGTTTTCTACCAGGGGCACGACTGAGACCGGCTCCAGCACACCCATCGTATGCCGGTCTTTGCACGGTGGAGACCTCCATGCTGCTTCGCACTTTGGGGGGAGGCAGACGCCACACCAGACTGGCAGACCGTTGGCATTGTTACGCAACCGACAATCCTGGATGGCATTTGTCTCATGAGCCCTGATAGATGCCATCTGATCAGCAGAGGCTCTGGGCTGGGGCCTGGGGGGGAGCGCTTAACCAACATCGGGCCTGGTCCACACGACGACTTATGCTTAATGACATTCCGGGAAGACGTGAAGTTAAATAGACTTCGTTCCCCCGTACCAGAGTATGTTTTGTTCCTCATCCCTTCTCTCAGGACAGTGTCTTTTCTCTACTTCAAACTTTCAATTCTATTCTTCAAGAGCTGTGCTCTATTTCCATTCATTCTCAGCTTCTCTGTCATTCCTTGATACCCAATTGTGAGTTGTCTTCCCTTCGCAGCGAGCGAAAAACGACACATGCTGACAAGAACTTCCAGTTTATACCGTTTTTACTTCACGACAGTCATTCCACAATGAAGTCCTCCATGATCCTTCTCATTGCTACCGGCCTGGTGTCGGGTCTGAGCATCCCCAAGCAGCTGGACACCCGCCAGGCCATCGCCCAGGCCGCAGCAGCACCCGCCGCCGCGCCCGCCGCCGCTGCTCCTGCTCCGGCACCTGCTGCTGAGGCTCCCGCCGCTGCACCGCCTGCCGCTGCTCCCGCTGACGCCGCCGCCGAGGAGGCGAAGAAGAAGGCCGAAGAGGAGGCCGCTAAGAAGGCGGCTGAAGACGCTGCCAAGGCTGGCGAGGGCGCCGCCGCTGCTCCCCCGGCTGAGGCTGCTCCCCCTGCCGCCGCCCCTCCCGCCGAGGGTGCCGACGCTGCCGCCGAGGCCGCCAAGAAGGCACAGGAGGAAGCCGCCAAGAAGGCTGCCGAGGACGCTGCGAAGAAGGCGCAGGAGGATGCTGCCAAGCAGGCCGAGGACAAGCAGAAGGAAGCGGCCAAGGAGGCTGCTAAGCAGGCCGAGAAGGCGATGGGAGACTACCAGAAGGGCAACAACAACGACAATAAGGGCGACAACAACAAGGGTAACAACAACAACAATAACAAGGGCAACAACAACAACAAGAACAACAACAACAACAACAACAACCAGAACGCCCTGCTGCTCCAGAACATCCAGCTTCTCCTCGCCGCCATGAACCTCCAGAACGTCGTCAACGTCCAGGCCCTCGCTCAGCTCCAGGCGCAGCAGCAGCTTGTCATGCTCGCTCAGCTCCAGCAGCTCGCCCAGCTCAACGCTGTCGGCCTCGTCAATCAGGTACAGGTCGTTGCTCTCATGCAGCAAGGTCTCGTCCTCGGCGGCGTCCAGCTCGGTGGCGTCCAGGTTGTCAAGATCCAGTGAACAACCATTTGTATCAGGAATCCAGGGAGGGGGTGTGTGGTATGATTCTACAGGGATGTAACTGCAATGTCGTAATTGAGAGAAAATTTTCACCGGAAAAGGAAGAGCAATCATTCAGTGTTTAGCACCGGGGGCGACCACTGTGTCTGTGTTTGTTTAGATGTCTCATGCGTGCGGAGGTGCAAGGGAACCCGCCGCCGCGTGACCGGTTGGGCATGACGTCCCTAGTGGACGGACTCGTCTGGAAGTTGAGATGACACTGGTAGTACTATCTGATCTCCTCGTTACCGAGGCAGGAAAGGGGGTGGGAATGGGTGGTTCGCATGACATGGGAATGGGTTACGGTGCATTATTCAACGGCTCTGCATATCAGACTAGGATTTGGCAAGTGCTTTAATGTAGTTTTTGAAAAGTCATCAATACTCCACCTGTCAAAACCCTTGAGTTTCACTTTTTACGTTGTGCCTGTCTCAGAACTTTGCTGATGTCGCGAGGGGGTTCGCGTTTGAGGCGGGATATCCCTGTTCAAATGCCAAGTTTCTTGACAGCAGCTTGACTTAAGCTTATTCTCGATGAAGGTTTATTTGACTAATTTGATTGTTGCTTACTCAGTGTAATCCCACAAGACTCATAGTAACATGGCGAGTGTTTCCATTTTAGTTATTTCCATGCCCCTATGCAACTTGGTCAAGCAGCAGATAACCTGTACATTGAGAACAATTTCCTCTTGGGGGGAATAAGATGACAACATCTGCATTCCGTCCTCCTCCCTCAGGTCTACTGCATCAAAAGTCGACAGCAAAATGTGGTACCGAGATGCGCTCGTCAAACGCAAATCCAACCCTCTTCTTCCCGGAAGCGCAGAGCATCCGGATTGCGGGGGAGGAAGACGTCAAAAGAAGGAAAAAACAGGGTGACATCTGCAGCCCTGTTGGTCCTTGTTGTCAATGCCATGGAGGGAAGATGCCTCATCGACAAAAGCCTGAGACACTTGGAGGGGTTCGGGGTTGGTGAGCCGAACAGGGGGATCCGACGAGGGTGCATAACAACTCGACAGCAGTGAAGGAAAAGGGCGGTGTTGATGTTGCAGTTTGCGCCCGGACCGCTTGTCAGTGACGCTAGAGGTTCTGACTTGCTGGAAGAGGAGAATTGCGGGGTTTGGAACAGCCAATGAATGGCTAAGATCATGTGGCAGGGGCCTTAAAACGGTCCGAGAGAGACAAATGGACCCCACTGACACGAGTTTAAACAGCCGCTAAACCTTAGTTGAGCCGCTCCGACGTCAACAGTACGTACAGTACCTCAGGTCCCGCCTGAGCTGTCTCTCTTGATTATTTGCATCCCGTCAAGTCGTTGTGCAGACTGTGCCGACTGTGCCAATCGCAACTACTAATGCTCATTCCCTAGAACGAGCAGAAAACCACGCTATTCTCCTCTCCATCCGATGATCAATGTCACCCTGGCCCAACGCATCGCCGGCGAGCCGGCTCGGCAGTCTCCTAAGGCAGAGCGCACATCCTGACGCGAGTGCAACGAAGCCCAACTTCATCCCGTCTTTAAGCTGTCAGAGACCCCAGTGGCCCAGCCTTAGGACGGACCCATCGGACCTTCCGTCACCCGGCCAAGAATTTTCTGTCTCTAGCAGCTGCGCAGGTCTTTCGGATGACACATACCTGTCATCACAGCTTCGTCCCATCCCGCTGCGTCTGACTGCCACAGTGCCACCCTTGCTTCTATAGCCTTTTTTTCTTTCCGACTCCATCGCATTATCGCCGCATAGTCCCAACACCACCCTCACAAAACCTGTGATCAAACCAGCGTCTTTCACGGCTGCTTCTACTCCATCAGACCCTTCGAAACAGACTTTGGCTCGGTTCTGGGTGTAGATCTCTTGAGTCTATTCCAGTTTCCGTCACCCCTCGTCCTCAAAGCTTGCGGGAAGAAAATCTCTGCTGGAAGGTCCATGTGCCGGCTTGGCGATGGCTGGGACGAAAATTTCCGCGTCACCATTCCGTCGGCCGAGTAGCCGCAGGACCCGCCAAGTAAGGTTATTTGGGCATTGCGTTGCTTGGCCCACGGGGACATCAATGACCTTGCCTCGATTCGTTTCCTTGAAGTTGACACTGATAACTCGCTCTCGTCACGGCCAAGTTTCTTACTGCTACACGTTCTTGCTCAACCTATCTATCTTGATGATTACAACAATCTACAGAAATCAAATATCGAGATGAGAGGTCCATGAGGTAAACCTAAACGCTTGAGTATGATGACCTTCATGGCCTATCACACCCTTCGCTGGAATCACCAGCCATCCCAATACAGGTCGCTAGATCGAGCCAAGGGTCGCATCTCTTCCGTCATCCGAAGAAACGTCCTCTATCCCATGCTATACGCGTCCCCTCGTGACCCCTAGTCTCAATTCCCCTGTCAACCCGTTTGATCCAACAATGTTCCGTACCAGCGATATCGAGACTCTGATACGCATCGGATCACTCGTTCACGACTCTTCCGAGCGCAAATCGTACCTTAATTCACCTTGGCAATGGCCCAAACGCCTCATGCCTTGCTGAACAGTTCAGACGTCGACGTAGACCCTTCTTGGCTCCAAGTATCTTGGCTTCTGTTCCGTCGACATATAAGCCATCGTCTCGCCGCGAGTAGGAGACAAATTCTTTTTTACTTCTCCATCCACACGCATTCAAGTCTTTCATCCAGTCCGATCTCACTCATTCCCTTCATTCATTCTCTTCAGAGGTGAGTCTCATATCAAGACCCGAACGAGAATACCCTACTTACTCGAAACTAGCTGTGCTCGTTGTTCTCTTCACTCCTTTCAAGTCGTTTACCAAAAAACCAAAACCACTCTTTACAGGAACATCAAGAGCTGTGCTCTCTTCATACATAATACCTTTTTAATCAACCCAAATCTCTCAAAACCCACACCACCTCCCAAAATGCGTTTCTCAACCATCATCCTCTCCACCCTCACCGCCTTCGCGGCCGCGGCACCCGTCACGGACACCCTCGAACCCCGCCAAGGCAACAACAACAACAAAAACAACATCGACCTCGCCAACCTCAACAACCTCCAAGGCTTCCGCAACCTCGATCTTAACTACCTCCTCGCCCTCAACAACCTCAACCTCCAGGGGCTCGGCCAGCTGGGCCAGGTCAACAACCTCAACCTCGCCGCCTTCCAGAACCTGTTTGCGGCCCAAAACTTTGACCTCAACGCCCTGCTGCAGCTGCAGCAGCTGTCCACCGTGCTCGCGATCCAGCAGCAGGGCGTGTTTGGCAACGTCAACCTGGCGCAGCTGAACCTCGGCGGGTTGAACCTCGGGCTCATTGGCGGGGTTGGGCAGGTGAACTTGGGCCAGTTTATCGATCAGGGCTTGGTTGGGCAGATCAACCAGGTCGTTCAGCAGTCTTCTGGTGAGTTTTGACCTGGCATATGGACTCTTGGCTTCCGAACGCTAATCATTGGGGGTTTGTGCAGTCGTTGTTGTTGGCAAATAAGCCCTCTACATCTTTTATTCATGGGATGGGGCGATGTAATGCATTCATAAATGGGACACGGATTGTCACATTCAGGATATGGTGTTTCAACCTCTTTTCTTTTCTCTCTTAATGACCGGCGCATGAACTTTCCTTGATTCTACAAACTTGGGGGGACTTGGTCAATACAGGTACTAGAATCAAGATGGCATGTATGGATATAGGTACCGTGACAAATGACGAATCCTCATCCAGATCAACTTTCCCCTACTTATGAATGGTAAAATGGTATGAAATTCTTAGTGACGCTGGTGATATGGTTTCAGTGAAGTTGCTGTCATTAGTCCAATTCAAGTTCCTAGACCTAGATACAAAGTCACCAGGTCTAGTGAAAACAATCGAGACATGACGCACCCGAGACCTAGGCTTGTGTTTGATCTTCAAGCAAATGGCAGAATAAGCCCCAATACTAGTCACCAGTACATATGGTACTTTGTATGTCCGTGGAAGGTTAAGAAGTTTCAAGAGCACGAGTGCTCTCAAGTAGCTTTTGAAACACAGTAATCTCGAGGTCCTCACAAAAACCTGCCAGGTCTTGCCTGTCATGCCGAAAATCTCTTTGGTGCGGTCTCTTATTCGTGTTCAGTCATCGAGACCGCGATCAAGATAGCAAGGAGAGCATCCGTCTAGGCTAACATCACTTTCACCATGCCGGTACGCTCGTTCCCCCTATCGCCGAGTCTCCCACCAGACGCGCAGCTCTGTCCGAATTTCCTACCAAAAACGTGTCTTGTCACCTCCCCTCGTGATCTTGTTGTCGTTTGCTGACTGCATAAACCCCCGCAACGACTCTCCTCAGCTCACATATAGTGTCGGAGCTTCCACTTGATCATCCCAAGCGTGTTAAACATCTCAAACAGCATTTTACGATGCGAGAACAAGCAGAGATCTCACAAGAGTCATTCAGGCGTGTTAGAGATAGCAACGCTCCCGAATACAGCTGGATACAAAATGCCACGAGAGATGGAATATGACAGCGCCCGATCAGTTGCTCCGATCATCCACCAGGACTCTTCCAAAGCATGCTCACATTGTCTGTCGGCCCAAAGCAGAAATCCGACTTCTCCTTCTCAATATAGATCACCATCCCATCGACAACACTCGCACAACCAGACTTCGCCGCATCGCCTCTCAAGGAGTGTTCTGCCCCCTTACTCCGACAGCGTAGGCTCTAAAAGTCCACACAAGGCATGCGATCCCGAACTCAAGCCAGTGGCGTTAGCTTTCCACATCCATTGAGTGATTTTCTTACTGAATATCAGTGACACTGTACAAGAGCAAACAGCCGGAAACAATGTAACCTGTGATACAAGGCCCATATCCCAGATTGGGACATATCCCCAAAGACGACAGGCGGGGACGTGAAAGCACACAGCCATACCAAATGTCCAAGTTACCATATCGATTTTGTCCTTTGGTTTATGATGCTACATTCCTCGAGTATTATATCGCCGGCAATATATCGGGACCAAAGAAAGCACAAAGTGTCATCGTTGGTAAATATTACTCTCCGCCAGCAGCACCACCCAATCCATCTTCATCGTATGAGGTATCCAGCGCTCAACTTGAACACAACGTCAGATACCACACAGTAATGGAGTTGGAAGCTACACGTGGATCTTCCTTACTGGGGCCATTCGATATCTTGCGCAGCACGTGTGCCGCTGCAAATACCTTTCAACCACCATCACGGCATAAGTCCTCCCAAATCCCGTGTGTACACTTCTTACACGTTGGGCCCAAGTAAGACTAGTACATGTAGACAGCAATAAGTTCACCCATTGCCCGAAAGAAAAGTTTCCATCACAGCAACCTGAAGAACCTGTCTGACTGTGG